AATGTCATAACTTTACAGAATCTGGTCAAGTCTTATCACGGTTAGTCTGTGATCTGCCATACATTATCCTCTATCAATATCTACATGACACACCCACATTCCTCTATCTAAACACAGCATACCCACCTCAGTGTGGACTTGACTCCAATAGTCCCCAGTTCCCCCAGAGATTCCTCTCCTATAGAGTTCCCCTCAGTTTGGGCACGGATTTTCAAAATCTATCAAAGGTAAAGCAAAACGGTGATATCTTTTCCTCAATACCATGAAAGCAGACCGTAAAAAGCGAAGAGACATTTCTACATCCATTATTAAATCAGACCAAAAATGAAGTTTTAGACATATTCAGGTGTAATTATGTCACTGGTGCTTTTGTAACCTTAAATATTCAAATCCTTATCTTAGATGAATTACACTTTGTATCTTTATATATGAAAAACAAGCTAGCCAGAGTGACCAGTGGGATGACTAGCTAAAAACCCAAACTGGTCATACTGTACCTGTATCATCTCATCTTTGGAGTATGGTAAAGTTTTGATGATCATAATTCTGTCCAGTAAATCCAGGGGCATGCCGTGGGGGGCCACTATGTCCTCTGTGCCTCTGGAAAACAGGCAAAAAAATACCTTGATAAAGCAACTGATCTTGTGACTAAAATTTGTAATGAAATGTTCAAACTCTTAATAAACAAACTTCTTAACTGAGATTGCCAATTCTGGGAATCTTCCCTTTTTTTTTTCGTTGACATGTCTCACTTTATGCACAAATATACTTGCCTCTATTTCTGGACTTACAACTTAAGAACTGCAATTATAGCAAGTCTAGAAACAGTTAAAATAATATGTGCATATATCAACTCAATGTCTACAAATCATTATACATAACACCATGATTTAGTTTACTCACTTTATCACACACTTCCCCCTGTTGGTGGCAAATATCACAATGGGAGCAATGGTGGACTCCAGAGCCCTGTGGAGGTAGGTAAAGCACTCTATGTCCAGCATGTGAACCTCATCTATAAACAACACTCCAGGCACCAGCTCTGCTATACCCTGGTCTATGTACTTGTTCACCACTTTGTTGATCTCTTTTCTCAGTTTGTCTGGAGGGCAAAAGTAAAGCATGAAACGATATTAAACTGGTTTTACATTTTAATATAAAGAATGATGTGCACAATGCGAAATACATCTATATGCCCTTTTTCATTACAGAAAGAATTCACATTCTTGTACCATAAAAGATAACAAACAAATTTTTAAGTTTTTAACCATGTAAACTATCTAAAATTACCTACTATCTGACTTATAAAACTCTTCTACCAACCTGTGATTTCTGTCTTCTTGGGTTTCATCAACTGCCCCATCATAGACATGATATCCTGACCTCCCTAAATTGAAACAAAAACAATATCAACAGATTGAAAATTTCTCTTAGATTTACTTTAGTGCCAGCCTTTTTTAATTTAATATTTTATTTATATAAAACATTACCTATATTCTTCAGCTAAAGCAAGTCATTGTTAGCATTTGACAAAATGCTTCTGCGATGATCAAACTTGAACTACCATATTCTAAAAGATGCATACATACATTAACACGTAATATTATCTTGCACTAAACCAGATTTTAAAGGGATAATAACTCTTCGTTTCAGCCAAATGAATTTTCCTGGAGTAAACAACAATTTTCCCATACTTACCAATGGTTAATGAATCCATTTTTACATTCCAAGTTGGTCCCTGTTTTTTTTCTAAAAAGTTTGGTTTTTTGTATATCCATCAATGGAGGTCACGTGGTCTAAAGACAAGCTTTGATATCAGAATAATAGCTGTAACTGCCGTTTTTGTGGTACAACAGAATATATTATATTTCTATGAGTTGTTCACAATGTTTCTATTGTGAAATATAGCTCTCATACGAAGAGTTATTATCCCTTTAACATGACAGAAATTTATGTTGGTTTACATAAAGACAATTGAAACCTTTGAAAAAACGCAAGTGCTATTTCCGGTATCATTTACAAACCTGTGGCCTAGCATTTGCAATATCTAGGTCATGTAAGGTGACATCCTGTATGACCTCTTTTTTCTTGTGGACATCTCCTTTAGGTAGAGGGACGTACTCTTCTGCTTCTAGATCAAACTCTGTAGCATATGTATCAGATCTGCCTTGACGCTGAAAACGATAGTGGTACCAATGTTCTAAAATCTCATTTTTTATATATCAACACAGAATATGCAGCACATGTACTGAATGAAAAGTAATAGTGACAAAAACAGTCGAAATAATCCAATGTCTAAAAATATTCAAAATCCATGTCAGAAGGGCTCACTTGAAAATAACAGCAAAATTTACAAGAAAAAAAATATACATATATATAATATACAAATATCTTTTTGGTGTTTTCACTTAGAACACAAAATGCAGTCATGTCATTATGTACTAATAAAAACACAGATGTTTCACAACGGTGAGTCATAATAGTTTTAACAAAAACATAAATCATTCATTCTGAATACATTGCAGTTCTTGGGTCTTTCTGAATTCCTCACCTTAACAGCTCCACTGTTGGCTTCAATATAAATGACATCTCCAGTCTCCACCTTCTCTTTCTGTAAGCTCTCATAAATAGATGGGTCTAGTTTCAGCTGTTTCGTACCCTTAGCAGTCTTCAGTCCTATCACCACATGACTCACTGTTTTCCCATATCCTAGAAAATAGAAGAGTTTCTTTGAACTATTATATATCAATTTTCTAGAGTTCTAAATGTTTTTCCATAATTACCAAGAAAAAAAAGAAATGTATCCACAATATAATCCAGCAAAGTTAAGAATAAAATGCTTCACCAAGACCAACTCTATAAATGAAAACAAATGCTGGAATAATCTGAATAATTAAATACATTAAAATGACCAGAATTTGCTGCATAGCAAAAGGAGGAGAAAAGAAATAAATACATTTTTTTCAAGTTGAAATTATCTAAAATCAACAACTTGTAAAAATGTTCACTCTTATATATAAGCCAAAAATAATTTCTTTATATTTCTATATATTTCTGTGTCTTCAGCTGCTTGTTTCTCCATAGTCTGGTAAAATTCTTACCTCCCATTGGGTTCTCTGTTTCTACTGGTGTCAGCTCTGTTACTTCTCCCTCATAAACTTCTTTTGTCTCCTTTATCCTCAAACCTACCAAAAACAACATGCAAATGCTGCAAACATGAAATTGGCATCTTTTTCATTTTCAGTCTTTTCCCTCTATTTTTCTATTCACTTTACATAAAACTTAAGTAGATGTAACACCGTTTCTAAGAAAAGGCACGTCAACCAACCTGTTAATAAGATTAGGTTTGTATATGAATCCTTTGCATACTTTTTTTAAAATGAAAATTGTTTCATAAAACAAGACTCTTTCTTATCACTTACACTGATACAAATAAATATTGTAAGTCCCGCATTTTAGTTCTGTTAGAATTTCTCACCAAACACCTGTTCTGAGTCTAAAATTCTGAAAAAGACTTAGCATGCCACTTGAACTTACATCAGCTCTTCTCATTTATCATGTTTCATTTACAAGATAGATTCAACTTAACATACCGATGGCCCTCCTGAAGTTTTCCATGAGAACTTCTGTCTTCTTAATCTCAGAGGAGTATACTTCACTACCCACCATGGGACAGAAGGGAACTTTACTGCCTAGTTCTTGTGCTATGGCTAAGGCTATGGCTGTCTAAGAGAAAAAAATTAAAGAAAACTTTAAATTCAATTATAACATATTTAAGACATACAACAGTTCCATTAGGTCTGCATAGGATTTTTTTAACGTAATAAATTATTCTCTTTATCACCTAAACAATGATGTTAAATTGATACATTTGTTGACAATAACAAAGATTTATGAAAATTCTAGAGTCACATAAAACGATTTTTGCAATGGATCAAAATTAAATGAAATTTAAAGAAAAGAAATACATATTCCATGGGAAAGTGACAATTTGCAAATTAATATTTTGTCTAAACCAAAACAAAAATACGAAACAAATTTTTTACCTTTCCTGTGCCTGGGGGTCCTGCTAATAACACTGCTCTTCCAGCCATCTTCTTACTTTTAATCAACTCTATTACAATACCAGCAGCCTGGGATACATAAAAGCCATATAATTATCAATTTCTGGGTGGAAAATACTATAACGCACTTGTCACCATTTGAAATGTTATTTCAATTACTGTAACACCAGCGCGGCAGCAACAGAGCAAAATCAACAACCAATATTCAGTATTCAAACTGACGCTTAATCAAAGACTATCACCATGTTAAGCGAGGTATAAACATAATCCCAAAGTATTGTAAATTTAATAAAATTATGATCAACGGTTACCTCTCTTGCTAGTTCCTGACCAACAAGTCCTTGTGCTGACGACAGAGCATAGCCTTCCTCATTTAGTCCTAGCCCTTTTATGTGACTATGTACTGCTATCCTCTGTGTTTTGGTCGTGCTTTTAACTTCCTCTATCTTCATTTTGATTAGATTTCGGCGGTTACCACTGACACTCGTCAAAAAGCGTGCACAATGCGTCAAGTATGGCCGCTTGGTTTGTTCTTCATGTAAGCAAAAGGTTTAATAAGAGTGGGAAACAAAGTCTGTAAAATAGTAATTATTCTATTTTAAAAATCAAAATATATTGACAAAATAGGCTTTCAAATGGATTGCCTAAATATTTTTATATATGGGTTTCGTATTGAGCAAGCAGATTAGAGAAAATATCTAAACTTTCTTCGTGTATGCCTACATTGAATACTTACTAACAGTGTGCTATCCCACAATTCTGACCGGAAGTAGGGGTACCCCGAAGAAAAAATGAAAAAGCTGCTTTTCTGTACACCTTTGAACACTTTAAAAGACCAGAACATTTTCTTTTGCCTCTTGTTATATATCAGGATACCCATACATGACGAAGATTTAGTATAAGAAGGAAAAGTAGTATGTGTTTATACTCGTATCCATGACTGCATTGTTTATGCGGCCATATTGGATTTTAGTGTTGCACTGTTTAATGGTACATTAGTTTGCTGGTGCTATATTGGTATCGTTTTCCCTAGTTTACAGGTATTGTACTGTTATAATCACACCTGAATTGTAGCGCTTACTTATAGGCTGTCAAAATGTGTCTCTGTTTTGAAGATTTAATATATACACTCACTTATTTCATTTTATTTTTAAATTGTTATGCTGTACATGTACAGTAAATGAGTTAACCTACTTGTAATCACGGTGCAAAATTTTTAACGACTTCAAAGTGCATTTGTGTTTTTGCTTTGTTTAATATTGACTTGCTTGTGCGGTAATAACAATTTAGCTGAATATGAATATAAGTTACCTGATTATGACTGTGTAGAGATATTTTAAAATCTTTTCACAAAAAAAAAAGACAGAAAAGAAGTCCGCTTTCTGGTATTCTCCATGGTCTTAAAAATAAAATATATTTACATTCATGTACTGTTCGTGATGCATTAAGTCACTTTGTTCAGCACAATTGTATGATCATCAATCTTTATTTGCAGTTTGGTCAATGTAAGTATATATATGTTTTTTATGTTGATATAACTGTTGTGAGAAGTGGACCAGTGTTTGGTCTACTACTGGACATGATTACATGTGATAAAATGTATTATAATTGTTTTCCTAGCTGGCAGTATGAGTGACCAAGGCAGTGATGAAGATGTTGAGCAGGGAGAGCAGGTGATGGAAGAGGATGAGGATAGGGAAGAAGATGAGCAGGCATATACCCCTGCTATATCAGCTCTACCCCCTAAGGTGGTCCTGCAGGAAGAGAGCCAGATGGAGGTCTCAGCCAGTCCTGCCTTCGTCTGCTTAGATGAGGTTAGTTTTTATGGAATACTTTAACTCTGAATGGTCAGGAGAAAATGTAGCACAAATCCTCCCTTGAATTCTGTTCTGTTATCCCCACACTTTTGTGGCAATTGTCAGGGATCATTTGCTACGTTTGAATGTGATTGAATAGCTAAATCAATGAAGAACATACTACTGATAAAAACAGATAAATTATGAAATTATTGCCTGAGATAAAATATTTTGTGTTGTCTCTGTTTTAATTATTTGTACTAGTAATGGCTTTGCACAGCAACCAAGTAGCTGAGATAATAATGATAATAAAGTTGAGTGGTTATCATAGATTTATTTTCAACTTCAGTCTCAACAGACATCTTCTCCTTATAAGAATATTTCCAGAAATTTGAAGGTTAAAACAGGAGTTTCAGCATGCCATCAAAAATCTTTCAGCACACGAAAAAATATTTTAAAATATGCAATAATGCATACTGTCTTTTCCAGTTATTATTCAGTCCATTCAAATACAGACAATTCTACTATTTTTTCTCAGTTTCATAAGTGCTTATGTAAGCATGTCTTTATTTACAATAAATAAAACCAGAAGCTTCAAACAAGTCAGAGCCATTGAAATCAGTTTTCAATTCAATAGCATCAAGCACTGCATCTTTGCATACAGCTGTTTCAAAAATCTTGCAAACTGTGATAAAAAATGATGATAGCCATCCTTATGCAAGTTTAACAACATTTGAACTTGGCTGGTCGCACTTTGATCTCTGTCTCCATCAGTGATCGGTACCCGTCTAGTGTTTGCCACATGATTCCATCTCGAGTGTAGGACTGATACTCTCCATTCTGATGGCCTACATAATAAATCCCATTCAAGTTGGATGCCATGCAGTTGGCAAACCACCAGCCACCGTGATAGAGCTGCGCACAGTTGCGGCTTGAACTGGCGTCATTGTCCAGGTCAAAGGTCGAGAAACGCTGGCCGTTGTGACGCAGGTAGTAGTGGCCATAGTGGAAGGAGTCACCAGCGGTGCCAGAGTAACGGCCAATTCTTAGGCGATAGCGGTCACTTTCATCACTCAGCTTGAACTGAAACAAAAAATAATAATAATAAATAATAATAAAAATAATAATAATAATAACACATTGAATTCACATATCTAATGTATTCAAATTATTTAATAGGTAAGGCATTGGAAAAAGTAATAATAACAGTACATCTGCTTTCTTTGCCCTTAATTTTCTTTTAAAAAATGGCTTGGGTGAAGCATTTTTTTCTTTGTTTAAAACAATGATCATCCTGGAATGAGCGAGAAAAATTAAATTTTTGATCATGGAAAATTAATATCTGATAAGCACCTTCTTGTATTCAGCATAGGAGTACTTGTTGTCTTTGAACTGCCAGAGATCAAATCTAATCTTGGTGTTGCCATTCTTGTTGAGGAGGTACATCTTCTGCAGCCCCAACCAGTGTTCTGAATCAGGGTCACCAAATCCATTCTGAAAACATGTAGTCCATTTATTTATTTATTTAATGGGAGGATTTTGAAAAGACTTATTAGAAATTTGGTTTAAAATTCTGCTTGCTTATTATGTTGCATTTTATTACTGTTCTTAATAAATGTTTAGAGGTCAGTGTTGTAAATGTTATCCTGAAAGGGCATGGTATTAAAAGCAATGAAAGGAAACTTGGACTGAATAACTTCAGGGCATTTTCTCTCCTCCTGAATTGAATATTGTAATAATAAAAAAAAGATTTAAAAAATTTGGAGAAATTTTCAGGGGAGGTCAAAAAAGTAAACACAACCCACATTGTACTCCCTCCACGTCTTCTGGAAGTTGACCAGTCCATCCTCCCTGCGCTGGACTACTGTCCAACCCCCTCCGTCCGTCTCCATGTCACAGTACGCCTTGAAGCTGTCAGAGTCTGGGTCTGGCTGGATCTCATNTAAAAGAATTAAAGATTGAGTGATTGGTATTATGGATGGTTTGTGGGGGTTTTCCTCTTGGATCTACGAACTTTAGATTGGATAGGTACGGGTGGTTTTATAAAGTGTTGGATTTTTTTTTTTAAAGGTAAGTAGAGAAAGCCCACCAGTAAGTTAGACTGGCAAAATGTCAACAGGCATGTTAGCCAGAATTTTTTTTCATTCTTTTATTTTATTTTTGATTAGTAAGTGAAAATTATCAGTTCAGTTTCTATATAACATTGAACAACAAACATATTGAAGTTGCCAAATTATTATGCTGTCTTCAAAATTATCAAAGCTGGAAAGTACCAGTAAGAACTACGTGATTTTGGTTACAGAAAAAGCCCATTACCAAAAAAAAAAAAAAAAAAAAAAAAAAAACTCTACCTGTGTGAGAGCTTTGATAGCTTGGTTGAGACTTTCAAGTTGATTTGTGAGTGACCTTCCAAAGGGAGAATCTGCCTGCAGATTGTTATTCATCCCAAACAAGTTTTGCCCCGGCCATCCAACGCTGTGCAGAGTCAAGCTGAATGTATATGTGCATGTGCCATTGGCATGACACAGAGAATTGTACTCGTGTTTTGCGCTGTGGTTTCCAATCTTTGGTGTCAAGGTACCCTTGCTCCCCGTAGCTTTCTCATGCACTCCCCTTTTGTCTATCGTGTGAACAGGTTCCAATCTGGCTGATGAAATCAGTCCAATGATGACAAATATTGAAAATCCAAGGCCAGAATTTTGCCATTCCATTTTGTTCTTGTTGTGTCACAAGCAACCTCCCAATTCTCTTGAGTAATGCTGTTTCTTGTTCAAGGTCAAACTCTTGAACTTGTTTAATCAGGCAATGGCAATTCTCTGATGCTTTTCCTCTCCACTGATTCTGTAAAAGTGAAAAAATGTTGTTTGTCTATAAAGTTAGTAGCTAATTTGGTTCTGCATGGAAAGTTGGATTGGAAGTCCTTATAAGTTTATCCTCTGGAAGAGAATGGCAGAGGTTTGGAATTTCGTGTAGTTTTCAGATAAAGGCGGTATGGGAACTTGTTTCCACCGTAATCCAGGTGTGCGATTGGTTTCCACCAATCGAATTACTCAACTCTGGAAAATTAAGAACAGCTCCTTTTCAAATTGCATGTTTTCGTAGACGTACTTGGAAAAAATTACAGTTGCCTTGTCTGCAGGTGGTTGCATGAGTTTGTTTAGTTTTAACCTGACTACACTTCTGATAGATTTGTTGGTTGTTTGAATTTAGTTTCTTTAATTCTATTTCCTCTCAAAATGCTTGTTGTTTTAGCAGCAATTGTCCTCTATTGTGACAGAAGCAAATCCTGTGTTTCAAAATTATGGGAAATGCACCACACATGGTCACACAAGTTTCTTCACAAATAGATACTGAAGTCTTTCAATTTAACTTTCTTTGAACTTCCAATTTAAAACCATGTGTCCACATTTGTTCTATGGGAAATATATTATGCCCATATTAGAACTGTTTTACTTCAATTACTGGACTGTTGTTGAATTGAAAGAAATCTCACAAAAAGGCTAAAACTGTGATAACATGCCTGAAATGCACATTCAGGAAGCAAACAATTCAGAAAGAAATTATCCTAAAAATGTGGGATCCACCTACAAAAATGTTGAAGTCTCATCATCTTTAACAGGTTTACTAGCTGGATTACATGAATTAAGAAAACCAATGAAAATTTAAAATTTCACTCAAACCTGTGGTCATATCCAAAAATGTGACTACCAAGATTTTTAAAAAACTGATTATCTCTCCTATTGAGACTAGAAATTAGCAAAATACACTTACACCAAAATATAAAATAAAATTATTCTAAAATTGCAACCAAAAGATTGAAGTTTTGTGTATGAAACACAAAAACACTGACATAATTAAGAGTTTCTTCACTTACCTGTACACATAATCCAATTACATGTACATTGTATTGATAAAGCCTTCCCACTGGAATTATTTTCAAGACTCTTTAACTTTCTCTCCTGTTTCTGACTGTTTTCCCAGCAGTTGGTGTGGGTCTACAGAGAACTGAGCCAAATTTTACCAGCTCTGTACTTTGTCTGCTGTCTCTCAGAATCTGAAAGAAAACAGCTTTGCACAAGATAGATCATTTTAAGATAACGGAGGGGGCATCTCAAAGTATTGAAACAAAAAGTAATTGGTACATGGGATTTTTGTATTTTTGATGAGAGCATATGTGAATTTTAAGTTTGTGGGGTAATTATTTTCATCGTTCCAGCTGTTTAGGCACAAGAAAGTTGTTTACTCCAGTTTATGTACTTATACTGTTACAGTATGTTTGTTACAGTACATCTGGGACCTGATATAATCTCATGTCAGATATTAGTTAATATTATTTTACAGAAATGATTAATAATTATTTACATTTATTTGTATATTGCAGTTGTTCCATGCTGGCAAACTAACAGGAACTCGAGTGGCAGTTTTAAAAGCCAAGTACACAGAGCTCCATGATTTTCTTAAAAAGTAAGTTTTAAAATGCAAAGGACTGTTTCATTTTGACATCACATATTTTGAAATCAGCTGATCAGGATTAAATTATCTACTTAAACAAATATTCAAAAAAAAAGCAGTTGAAAAAAAGCAACAATGTGGGAGGTTGAGATTGCTTTAAGCAAATGCCCCAAGAGTCAATTTCATATCTACATGTACATTGTTTATAGGAAATAATTATAATAACCACACTTGTCATAATGGTGATAATGATAAGAACTTTTTTAAGCATTCAACTACTGTTATGGTACATATAAGATTCCCATTAATGAGTAAAACTTTTAATTGGTGACAGGTAGTTTGCAGTTTGAATATACTAATAGTAGTGCAAATGAACTATACATTGTCATTTCTCTTATAGAACAAGAGACAGTGAGACNTTAAAGAATTAAAGATTGAGTGATTGGTATTATGGATGGTTTGTGGGGGTTTTCCTCTTGGATCTACGAACTTTAGGTTGGATAGGTACGGGTGGTTTTATAAAGTGTTGGATTTTTTTTAAAGGTAAGTAGAGAAAGACCACCAGTAAGTTAGACTGGCAAAATGTCAACAGGCATGTCAGCCAGAATTTTTTTCATTCTTTTAATTTATTTTTAATTAGTAAGTGAAAATTATCAGTTCAGTTTCTATATAACATTTAACTAAACAACAAACATATTGAAGTTGCCAAATTATTATGCTGTCTTCAAAATTATCAAAGTTGGAAAGTACGAGGAAGAACTTTTTGATTTTGGTTACAGAAAAAGCCCATTACCAAAAAAAAAAAAAAAAAAAACTTTACCTGTGTGAGAGCTTTGATAGCTTGGTTGAGACTTTCAAGTTGATTTGTGAGTGACCTTCCAAAGGGAGAATCTGCCTGCAGATTGTTATTCATCCCAAACAAGTTTTGCCCCGGCCATCCAACGCTGTGCAGAGTCAAGCTGAATGTATATGTGCATGTGCCATTGGCATGACACAGAGAATTGTACTCGTGTTTTGCGCTGTGGTTTCCAATCTTTGGTGTCAAGGTACCCTTGCTCCCCGTAGCTTTCTCATGCACTCCCCTTTTGTCTATCGTGTGAACAGGTTCCAATCTGGCTGATGAAATCAGTCCAATGATGACAAATATTGAAAATCCAAGGCCAGAATTTTGCCATTCCATTTTGTTCTTGTTGTGTCACAAGCTACCTCCCAATTCTCTTGAGTAATGCTGTTTCTTGTTCAAGGTCAAACTCTTGAACTTGTTTAATCAGGCAATGGCAATTCTCTGATGCTTTTCCTCTCCACTGATTCTGTAAAAGTGAAAAAATGTTGTTTGTCTATAAAGTTAGTAGATAATTTGGTTCTGCATGGAAAGTTGGATTGGAAGTCCTTATAAGTTTATCCTCTGGAAGAGAATGGCAGAGGTTTGGAATTTCGTGTAGTTTTCAGATAAAGGCGGTATGGGAACTTGTTTCCACCGTAATCCAGGTGTGCGATTGGTTTCCACCAATCGAATTACTCAACTCTGGAAAATTAAGAACAGCTCCTTTTCAAATTGCATGTTTTCGTAGACGTACTTGGAAAAAATTACAGTTGCCTTGTCTGCAGGTGGTTGCATGAGTTTGTTTAGTTTTAACCTGACTACACTTCTGATAGATTTGTTGGTTGTTTGAATTTAGTTTCTTTAATTCTATTTCCTCTCCAAATGCTTGTTGTTTTAGCAGCAATTGTCCTCTATTGTGACAGAAGCAAATCTTGTGTTTCAGAATTATGGGAAATGCACCACACATGGTCATACAAGTTTCTTCACAAATAGATACTGAAGTCTTTCAATTTAACTTTCTTTGAACTTCCAATTTAAAACCATGTGTCCACATTTGTTCTATGGGAAATATATTATGCCCATATTAGAACTGTTTTACTTCAATTACTGGACTGTTGTTGAATTGAAAGAAATCTGACAAAAAGGCTAAAACTGTGATAACATGCCTGAAATGCACATTCAGTAAGCAAACAATTCAGAAAGAAAGTATCCTAAAAATGTGGGATCCACCTACAAAAATGATGAAGTCTCATCATCTTCAGCAGATTTACTAGCTGGATTACACGAATTAAGAAAACAAATGAAAATTTAAATTTTTACTCAAACCTGTAGTCATATCCAAAAATGTGACTACCATGATTATCTGTCCTATTGATACTAGAAATTAGCAAAATACAATTACACCAAAATATAGAATAAAATTATTCTAAAATTGCAACCAAAAGATTGAAGTTTCGCGTTTAGAACACAAAAACACTGACATAATTAACAGTTTCTTCACTTACCTGTACACATAATCCAATTACATGTACATTGTATTGATAGAGCCTTCCCACTGGAATTATTTTCAAGACTCTTTAACTTTCTCTCCTATTTCTGACTGTTTTCCCAGCAGTTGGCATGGGTCTACAGAGAACTGAGCCAAATTTTACCAGCTCTGTACTTTGTCTGCTGTCTCTCAGAATCTGAAAGAAAACAGCTTTGCACAAGATAGATCATTTTAAGATAACGGAGGGGGCATCTCAAAGTATTGAAACAAAAAGTAATTTGTACATGGAATTTTTGTATTTTTGAGGAAAGCATAAGTGAATTTTAAGTATGTGAAGTGATTATTTTCATCATTTCAGCTGTTAGGCACAAGGAAGTTGTTTACTCCAGTTTATGTACTTATACTGTTACAGTATGTTTGTTACAGTACATCTGGGACCTGATATAATCTCATGTCAGATATTAAGTAACATGTAGTTTCTTTTCAAAAATGCAGTCACCTTTATTGACTTGATTTTACTAAAAGGTTAAAATTATTTTACAATAATGATTAATGATTATATATATTTATTTGTATATTGCAGTTGTTCCATGCTGGCAAACTAACAGGAACTCGAGTGGCAGTTTTAAAAGCCAAGTACACAGAGCTCCATGATTTTCTAAAAAAGTAAGTATTGCAGTGGACAGAACTGTTTCATTTTGACATCGCATAATTTGAAATCAGCTGATCAGGATTAAATTATCTACTTAAACAAATATTCAAAAAAAAAAGCAGTTGAAAAAAAGCAACAATGTGGGAGGTTGAGATTGCTTTAAGCAAATGCCTCAAGAGTCAATTTCATATCTACATGTACATTGTTTATAGGAAATAATTATAATAACCACACTTATCATAAAAGTGATAGTGATAAGAACTTTTTTAAGCATTCAACTACTGTTATGGTACGTGTAAGATTCACACTAATGAGTAAAACTTTTTATTGGTGACAGGTAGTTTGCAGTTTGAGAATACTAATAGTAGTGCAAATGAACTATACATTGTCATTTCTCTTATAGAACAAGAGACAGTGAAACAAAGCTTCTGCAGCAGGCCAAAGACTTCACCATGCAGCTAGAGGGACAGAAAGTGGAGCTGGAGAAGGCAGACAATTTCCCAGAGAGTTACAACACAGAGGTCTCCCAGATGAGGGCCAAGCTACTCAAGTATAATAACGAGCTGGCTCAGGCTGAAGATAGGGACTACCAGTTGGCTTATAAACTTGAGAAGTATGTGTATTTGTTGTTAAAAAAGAAAAGAAAAATTATGAGAAGCATTGAAAGTATCATGGGAGCATGAAGTGAAGTCATTTTTCTCAGAGTTGTCCAGTGGATTGTTTCATTAAAATGGGCCGTCCTCATTTTTGATATGTGCTAAATTAGATGGAATTTATTGTTGAATGAAAGATGAAATTTTAAAAAATATTGTCAAGTACTGAATTATCAGTTAAAGATATAAAAATTAGAAAAAAAGGAAGTTTGAAATTTGAATGAGGAAAATAAGTTGAACCGGGGAAGCTGATTTTTCAAATGGTCCCTTACTATTCTGTGGTTCTCACAACAGAATTACGTTAAAAATACTCTCCCTTATCAATACTTACATGTGGTTCTTTTCATGACATGAGATTGAGAATACAGTTGAGAAATGCAATAGTACATTTTGGATGATGTAGTTGGTTTTGTTATTTTTTGTGTGATTTTTTAAAAGTATCTATGATGCTTGCTTCAGAAGGGCCTTATTATAATTATCATGTTATTGTTTTGTTATTTATTTATTTATTTATTAATTTTTGTTGTTGTTGTTGTTGTTCAAAAAGGAAATGCTTTTGTATGAAAATGCCCACTGATATTTGGGTCAAAAAGTAAAAGTTATACTGGTCAGTGCCCAGTGGTGGACAAAACCAAAAAAGGCCACTTGAACTCAGCAGTTCTGTCTCCCACCAACAGGCGTGGCTTGTTTTGAGACAAGACTCTTCCCTCTCAAATGTGCCTCTCAGTTTCAGTTTAATGATTTGTTTGTTGTTCCAGCCTGGAGGAGGAAAAGAAAATACTACAGAGAGAGTATGAGAGGCTCCCTAAACAAGAGGTAAAATTATTATAGTCTTTAACATTTTTTGGTTTCATTTTATTTGGATTTTATTTTTTATTAATTAATTAATTAATTTATTTATTTATTTATTTATTTATTTATTTATTTATTTATTTATTTATTCATTCATTTATTTATTTATTAATTTTCAAGCAGAACTGATGATTATTTGTTACGTTTTCATCAGTTGTTATCTTGATTCTGTTCTCTGGCAATGTTTATTTGGAAACTTTTGTAAGATGTACATTATTGTCTTGAAGTTTTGAAATTATCTTGGCTCTGAAGGTAGCTTTTAAGATTTTTGCCAAGTGATACTTTGGAAAAAAGAATTAAGCAACATTTAAATTAATCTTTTATTTCAAATCTTGAACTGACTAGGAAAAAAGATTTTCCTGACATGTTATACTTTGCCAAAGACGAAAATTGAATAATATTATATTTTATTAATATTTTTCAATTCATTAAGTGACTTGAATGTTTTATATATCTACCAGTAATTGTCTGCTTCAGTAATAAATGTTGGATCCAAGTCTTTCTCCATTGAGGCAACGTCTGCTTCATAAACCTTAGAGAATGTTTCATATTAACAATATTTGATAGGCAAGCATAATATGAGATTCTGAAGTATAATTTTGCATTTTCACAAATTTTTCAAAATTTTCACAGGAAATTGAAAAGAAAATCAAAGAACTCCAAAATGCTGCTGATGAACTAAGAAAGGAGATCGCTCAGAGGCAAATTGAGGCTAAAAACTTGCGAGAGGACCTGGAAACGAGGAAACGCCAGTACCAAGTAGATTATAAGGACTTTGAAGCGGAGGTCTTCAAGATGGAAACACTTAAAGTGAGTATGAACAGAAGATTGCATTAGGGAATGATTTTTGACATAAAATCTACTGTGCCGTCACAAGTTTTTTGAATGTTAATTCTTTGGAACCAAGGTCCTAATCTATCCACTTAACAGTTATCTACTTGAATTTTTTCCTGTTAGATAATGAAAAGGAAAAAAGAGAATTTGAATTAGCTAGCAATGGAAATCGTGCCTGAAATTATTTTCAAATCTTTTACATTTCTACCCCCCCCCCCCTTCTGTTTGTCCCCACCCCAAGCACATATTTAAATATTTTTAAAGATTCAACTTTAAAAAATGAATTTGCAATGTAATTTGGTATGGCTCATAAAGGGAAAATGCCTGACTAACACATATAGTATGCATAAATACGTCAAGACCAGAAATAACTCCTGGAAAAAAAGGCAAGACTTTTCAGCTGGATTGTGTAATTGAATGTGTTTTTTATCATTAGACAGTGCTAGGAATGGACAGAGTTACCTGATATAAACCACTCCAGGAGCTTTTATCTCATTTATTCCTGACATTTAGCCTTGTTATGCGGGAAAACATTGCTCTATTTTACTTGGCCGTAGTCAAGATTGTGTTGTCTTTGAGGTGAAGAATTAATACCAGGATAATAGAACTTGAGTAGATCCGAGTTTAAAGAAAAAAGGCATTTTATGTGTGGTCTGTACTCTAAGACTTGACCAGCAGTGGTTCTGTGGTTAATTATAAAGGCTTGACCACTCAGACATACAGTGGTCAGTTTATCTGATTCTGTTATGGACTGGTCTGGATACTAATTTGATAGGTTTGTTTGAAATCAATAAAAGCAGTGTTACAGGAGGAAAAAAGTTAACTCCTGCACAGAACACTGGCAACTACAGCATGAAACCCCCGCACCCCAAAAAACAAAACAAAAAATATTTAGACTATTTTTTTTTGTAGGAATATGCAATGATACATGCACACATGCAAATTCACCATATGTACACACACACACACACACATTTAGATATCTTATCAACATAACATATGTTCTTGTTCTATATTCTTTATATAGTATTCATTCTACTTATATACTCTTTTATTTACATTTAGGAGCAGTTGATAACAGGAGTAAGTGGCATGACTTGATAGGGCATGAACCGTGTGATTTTTTAAGTTCAGCTTTTTTGATTATATATATACAATTTTTGTTTCATGTCTTTGTTTGAAGGAAGAAATTTGTATTATTTCAGTTTGTGATTGTTTATTTGAATCTGTGGCTATTTTCTAGGAGATAAAACTTGAGAATATAGGATGTCAAACATTTTCATACAGTGCAGTTTTGCATGTTAACTATAGGAATGAGGTTTTGTTCTGTTGTGTTTAAAGCAATGAAGATCAGAATATTGCCCAGTCTGTTTTATGAATCTTTTTTTTTTTTCAATATATAAAACTGTTCATTTATTCGTGTTATTTTGGAATAAAGTGCCGCTATAGATGTGGATTAGCTATTTTGTTTGAATATTTCATTTTTGTTTGGATTGTTTATTTTTTGTTCTATTATTTTAGCATGCAGTGATACCCAAGGCAATGTGTGTATTATATCGATTACAGTTTTTTTCATGATGGCATTTAGAGACACAGTTTAATTTTAGGTATAATTCTATTTTCTAGGGTGATCTTGTTGCTGTCAATTCCTTGCCAAGTCAGATTGGAAAAGAAGCAGACAAGAAACAAAGGAAAAAAGAGTGAGTGAAACTTATAATCTTTTTAAAACTCTGGGATTGCTTCATACCTCATCTATATTGCATGAAACATTTCCAAATTCTGATATGATGGAAAATTTTTTTCATTTCCTGTTCTTGGAAGAGTCCACACAAGTGGAAAATTGCTAGGATTTTTAAAACCAAGATCAATCCAAAACACCCTGGTATTACCCAACTTTGCCTATACTACTTGCAGTACTTACAGACTGGGTCAACTCAACCAGGCACTCTTATGTATATATAAACCAAAAAAATCCATTCATTTATTAATACCAGACAGAAAGAAAATGGACAAGCAAAGGGGGATATTGAAACCAAATGCACAGTAACTAGGTCCTCACCCTTGTGTTAACTGAATACCACCATGCCTTAGTTAAGTCTTCTTTCCCTGCTGATATGAAAACAGCCATGGCATTCCTTGGAGCTGGTTATTGGGGGGATGGTTGCCATTTGGTGGGTTCTTTTATCTGTTTAACACAGTGGTAGGGTTTAGGGCACAAAACTATGAGTGAAGAATCGATATTATATAGAGTTATTATAGGCCCGTAGCCAGCAATTTCTGAGGAGGGAGGGGTCATTTTCTGAAAAAGTGGACCTTTCACCATAAAATCCTCAACAACATAGATCAAATTTTACCCAGAGTGGACCTTTTCCCAGCATAAAGGGTGGTTCTTTCAAACCCCCCCCCCCCCTTCCGGCTACGGGCCTGGATTACTAGTAATTTTTCTTCATGGGCAATGAAACTTTAGTTTTCTGTTGTTCACGTAAAGAAGTACGTAATTGGAAAAATTATATGTGACAGTTACTCCAGAAATCAATTTAAGCAGTTGTAGTACATTTTATTTCATTTTAGTTTTGGCATTTTGAGATCGGAAACCTTATGCATCTTGTTAAATAGGAAAAATTGCCCCAAAAGCTTTAAAAAAAAAAAAAAAGATTTTTAAAACGTGCTACAAGAAAGGGAACACTAGAGGTACTGTACACTTAATATTTCCCAGAGTTTTGACTACTGCAGGCTGCCTTAACCAACACCCTATAATTAATACCACAGAAAATGTCAACTTGTGTTTTCTGATATTAAATAAACAGTGAAGCACTGTTCATGTGGTAACATTAAGTCAAAACATGGTGAGGAGCTGGCTCTTGGGAAGGGGGATATTACTGACCTCAGGGTTTTGGATATGTTACAATTAAATCCAGGTAATTATTGGCAAATAACTTAATTTTTTTGCTTAAGGCTCTGTCTGCTGCAGAAGGATTTCAGTACAGACGGTCTAAGTACCCGAGATCTATTAGTTTCAGATGTGCTGTATTTATAGCTGGCTGGAAAAAATAAACCAGGTTTCTGAGAATAAAAATTTGAATAACCTGCCTTTATTGCAAATATATGTACATTAAGGCATAATCAATTAAGAAGTTGATGGATATTAAGGTTGATCCAATTTTATATTGCATGAAACATTTTCAAGTTTTGTTAAGATAATCGGTCATCACATGTTATATGTGGTTATCATTATTTAAACGTTTGTGTTTAATGATAATGTGCAGCTTTATGCCTGTTTCTTACTTGAGAAGGGGTGCATTTAATTTGGTTAATTAGTGAAAAACACAAAGAAATAATAAACATAAACTAAAATTATAACCTGAGTAATTAGATACAACCTGGGAATCATTGTATACATGCAGTATAGGTTTAAAATAACCTACTGGAATTTACTGTAGATTTGTCTGATTATTTTTTTTTTTTTTTCAAACACATTTACACTGTGTACTTTAAAATTGGTTGTATAAAAACNGGATTGAGAATACAGTTGAGAGATGCAATATTACATTTTGGATGATGTAGTTGGTTTTGTTATTTTTTGTGTGATTTTTTAAAAGTATCTATGATGCTTGCTTCAGAAGGGCCTTATTATAATTATCATGTTATTGTTTTGTTATTTATTTATTTATTTATTTTTGTTGTTGTTGTTGTTGTTGTTCAAAAAGGAAATGCTTTTGTATGAAAATGCCCACTGATATTTGGGTCAAAAAGTAAAAGTTATACTGGTCAGTGCCCAGTGGTGGACAAAACCAAAAAAGGCCACTTGAACTCAGCAGTTCTGTCTCCCACCAACAGGCGTGGCTTGTTTTGAGACAAGACTCTTCCCTCTCAAATGTGCCTCTCAGTTTCAGTTTAATGATTTGTTTGTTGTTCCAGCCTGGAGGAGGAAAAGAAAATACTACAGAGAGAGTATGAGAGGCTCCCTAAACAAGAGGTAAAATTATTATAGTCTTTAACATTTTTTGGTTTCATTTTATTTGGATTTTATTTTTTATTAATTAATTTATTTATTTATTTATTTATTTATTCATTCATTCATTTATTTATTTATTTATTTATTTATTAATTTTCAAGCAGAACTGAGGATTATTTGTTACGTTTTCATCAGTTGTTATCTCGATTCTGTTCTCTGGCAATGTTTATTTGGAAACTTTTGTAAGATGTACATTATTGTCTTGAAGTTTAGAAATTATCTTGGCTCTGAAGGTAGCTTTTAATATTTTTGCCAAGTGATGATACTTTGGAAAAAAGAATTAAGCAACATTTAAATTAATCTTTTATTTCAAATCTTGAACTGACTAGGAAAAAAGATTTTCCTGACATGTTATACTTTGCCAAAGACGAAAATTGAATAATATTATATTTTATTAATATTTTTCAATTCATTAAGTGACTTGAATGTTTTATATATCTACCAGTAATTGTCTGCTTCAATAATAAATGTTGGATCCAAGTCTTTCTCCATTGAGGCAACGTCTGCTTCATAAACCTTAGAGAATGTTTCTTATTAACAATATTTGATAGGCAAGCATAATATGAGATTCTGAAGTATAATTTTGCATTTTCACAAATTTTTCAAAATTTTCACAGGAAATTGAAAAGAAAATCAAAGAACTCCAAAATGCTGCTGATGAACTAAGAAAGGAGATCGCTCAGAGGCAAATTGAGGCTAAAAACTTGCGAGAGGACCTGGAAACGAGGAAACGCCAGTACCAAGTAGATTATAAGGACTTTGAAGCGGAGGTCTTCAAGATGGAAACACTTAAAGTGAGTATGAACAGAAGATTGCATTAGGGAATGATTTTTGACGTAAAATCTACTGTGCCGTCACAAGTTTTTTGAATGTTAATTCTTTGGAACCAAGGTCTTAATCTATCCACTTAACAGATATCTACTTGAATTTTTTCCTGTTAGATAATGAAAAGGAAAAAAGAGAATTTGAATTAGCTAGCGATGGAAATCGTGCCGGAAATTATTTTCAAATCTTTTACATTTCTACCCCCCTTTCCTTTCTGTTTGTCCCCACCCCAAGCACATATTTAAATATTTTTAAAGATTCAACTTTAAAAAAAGAATTTACAATGTAATTTGGTATGGCTCATAAATGGAAAACGCCTGACTAACACATATAGTATGCATAAATACGTCAAGACCAGAAATAACTCCTGGAAAAAAAGGCAAGACTTTTCAGCTGGATTGTGTAATTGTGAATGTGTTTTTTATCATTAGACAGTGCTAGGAATGGACAGAGTTACCTGATATAAACCACTCCTGGAGCTTTTATCTCATTTATTCCTGACATTTAGCCTTGTTATGCGGGAAAACACTGCTGTATTTTACTTGGCCCTAGTCAGGATTGTGTTGTCTTTGAGGTGAAGAATTAATACCAGGATAATAGAACTTGAGTAGATCTGAGTTTTTAAAAAAAAGGGACATTCTATGTGTGGTCTGTACTCTAAGACTTAACCAGCAGTGGTTCTGGGGTTAATTATAAAGGCTTGACCACTCAGACATACAGTGGTCAGTTTATCTGGTTCTGTTATGGACTGGTCTGGATACTAATTTGATAGGTTTGTTTGAAATCAATAAAAGCAGTGTTACAGGAGGAAAAAAGTTAACTCCTGCACAGAACACTGGCAACTACAGCATGAAACCCCCGCACCCCAAAAAACAAAACAAAAAAAATTTAGACTATTTTTTTATAGGAATATGCAATGATACATGCACACATGCAAACACACCATATGTACCCACACACACATTTAGATATCTTACCAACATCACATATGTTCTTGTTCTATATTCTTTATATAGTATTCATTCTACTTATATACTCTTTTACTTACATTTAGGAGCAGTTAATCACAGGAGTAAGTGGCATGACTTGATAGGGCATGATCTGTGTGATTTTTTAAGTTCAGCTTTTTTGATTAAATATACAATTTTGTTTCATGTCTTTGTTTGAAGGAAGAAATCGGTATTATTTCAGTTTATGATTGTTTTATTGGATTCTGTGGTTATTTGCTAGGAGATAAAAATTGAGAATAGAGGATGTCAAACATTTTCATACATGTGCAGTTTTGCATGTTAACTATAGGAATGAGCTTGTGTTTTGTCGTGTTTAAAGCAGTGAAGATCAGAATATTGCTTAGTCTGTTTTATGAATCATTTCTTTTTTCAACATATAAAACTGTTCATTCATTCGTGTTATTTTGGAATTTATAAAGTGCCACGATAGATGTGGATTAGCTATTTTGTTTGAATATTTCATTTTTTTTTTTGGATTGTTTATTTTTTGTTCTTTTATTTTAGCATGCAGTGATACCCAAGGCAATGTGTGTATTATATCGATTACAGTTTTTTTTTCATAGTGGCATTTAGAGACACAGTTTAATTTTAGGTATAATTCTATTTTCTAGGGTGATCTTGTTGCTGTCAATTCCTTGCCAAGTCAGATTGGAAAAGAAGCAGACAAGAAACAAAGGAAAAAAGAGTGAGTGAAACTTATAATCTTTTTAAAACTCTGGGATTGCTTCATACCTCATCTATATTGCATGAAACATTTCCAAATTCTGATATGATGGAAAAATTTTTTCATTTCCTGTTCTTGGAACAGTCCACACAAATGGAAAATTGCTAGGATTCTTAAAACCAAGATCAATTCAAAACACCCTGGTATTACCCAACTTTGCCTATACTACTTGCAGTACTTTGAGACTGGGTCAACTCAACCAGGCACTCTTATGTATATATAAACCGAAAAAATCAATCCATTTATTAATACCAGACAGAAAGAAAATGGACAAGCAAAGGGGGATATTGAAACCAAATGCTCTGTAACTAGGTCCTCGCCCTTGTGTTAACTGAATACCACCATGTCTTAGTTAAGGCTTCTTTCCCTGCTGATATGAAAACAGCCATGGCATTCCTTGGAGCTGGTTATTGGGGGGATGGTTGTCATTTGGTGGGTTCTTTTATCTGTTTAGCACAGCGATAGGGTTTAGGGCAAAAACTATGAGTGAAGAATCGATATTATGTAGGGTGATTACTTGTAGTTTTTCTTTATGGGTGATGAAACTTGAGTTTTCTGTTGTTCACATAAAGATGTACCTAACTGGAAAAATTATATGTGACACTTACTCCAGAAATCGATTTAAGCAGTTGCAGTACATTTTATTTCATTTAAGTTTTGGCATTTTGAGATCGGAAACCTTATGCATCTTGTTAAATAGGAAAAATTGCCCCAAAAGCTTTAAAAAAAAAAAAAAAGATTTTTAAAACATGCTACAAGAAAGTGAGCACTAGAGGTACTATACACTTAATATTTCCCAGAGTTTTGACTACTGCAGGCAGCCCAACCCGACACCCTAAATTTAATACCACGGAAAATGTCAACTTGTGTTTTCTGATATTAAATAAACAGTGAAGCACTGTTCATGTGATATCATTAAGTCAAAACACGGTGAGGAGCTGGCTCTTGGGAAGGGGGATATTACTGACCTCGGGGTTTTGGATAAATTACAATTAAATCCAGGTAATTATTGGCAAATACCTTAATTTTTTTGCTTAAGGCTCTGTCTGCTGCAGAAGGATTTCAGTACAGACGGTCTAAGTACCCTAGATCTATTAGTTTCAGATGTGCTGTATTTATAGCTTGCTGGAAAAAATAAACCAGGTTTCTGAGAATGAAAATTTGAATAAGTTATAACCTGCCTTTATTGAAAATATATGTACATTAAGGCATAATCAATTAAGAAGTTGATGGATATTAAGGTTGATCCAATTTTATATTGCATGAAATATTTCCAAGTTTTGTTAAGATAATCGGTCATCACATGTTATATGTGGTTATCATTATTTAAACGTTTGTGTTTAATGATAATGTGCAGCTTTATGCCTGTTTCTTACTTGAGAAGGGGTGCATTTAATTTGGTTAATTAGTGAAAAACACAAAGAAATAATAAACATAAACTAAAATTATAACCTGAGTAATTAGATACAACCTGGGAATCATTGTATACATGCAGTATAGGTTTAAAATAACCTACTGGAATTTACTGTAGATTTGTCTGATTATTTTTTTTTTTTTTTCAAACACATTTACACTGTGTACTTTAAAATTGGTTGTATGAAAACTTTCAGTCCAAACTTACGGAATTTTGTCAGAAGTTTTACTTCATTAAATCATAATAATTTAGCAAAGCCATTTATCTATCAAAATTAGTGATTTCAAGAAGTTTCAACAGAACTCCTTGGTGATTTAAACAAATTATGTGTTTTAGTTTTTGCATTTTGTGTGTATGTACATGCATATGTTCAATTCAGTGTGTCTGTTTTATTTATTTATTTATTTATTTATTTATTTATTTATTTATTATATTTTATTTACAGTGAACTAGACAAGCAAAAGAAGGAACTGGACAGTGAGTACAAGGAACTACTGGCAGCCACACAGCAACTGGAGATGAAACGACAAAAACTGGAAGACGAGAAATTTGACATGGACACACAGCTGGACAAGGAGCGGGCCATGCTGGAGGACAAACAACGCGAGTACGACCAGCTCCACAAGGAGTGTGACTATGCCAAGAACAGGATACAGGTCCTGATGGAGGATAGGTGAGTGTTAGGGTCGTAGATTCTCCCATATTAAGGGCAAGTGTGTTAGAGAAGACTACACATCAGTTGGAAATGTTGTGAGCCACAAGAAACAAATTTAAACTTTTTACTATGATATTCTACAACAGTAAGAGAAACTACATTTTCTTCATAACCTGCCACTTGTGCAGGCAATATCTATCTATTAGTTGCAAAAGTTGGAATTTATGCACATAGATAAAATTTTAAAGCTAGTTTAAAAATTTTTCTTTTTGTGTTTCAATATTCCTTTTAACCTACATGTATTCATTTCATAAATAAATTCTTATGTAGTGAAGCAGTAGCTAAGCACCCTGTCTAACTTCCTTTTATGACATCACAAATGCTTTTTTTTTTTTTGGAACAATGAAATTGTGATGTCACAATCAATGATGTCACAGTGAAACTTCAGTGACATCACACAATGTAACCATAGATATACCAGTTTCTCATCAAAGCAGTGAAATTTAAATTGACAGTGATTATGAAAAAAAATCTGATGACAGGTTATAAGAGAATTTACAATAAAAAATTAATTCAGAGGATGATAATAATAATAATAATGCTAATTATAACAACACATGTACGTGTTTAATCAACGGCAGTCAGCTAGAATTTAAGATCATAAAAATTATTTTAAAATATTTCAAATCTATTATTTATTTATTTGTTTGTTTTTCTTATCCACAGTGCTCAACTGGACTTCAGCCTGCGTCACTCTAACTTAGAGAAGAAGAGTCAACACGAGGTGGTGTCTAAGAAACAGCGTGACAAGGACAAGGAGCTGAGGAATCTGAAGAAGGCAGAACTTCAGTTCAAGGTGGCAGAAGATGCTCTAAGTCACACCAAAGCTGTCCATGAGAAGGCCAAAGGATCGGTAAGTTTTTATTTATTTATTTATTTATTTATTTATTTATTTATTTATTTATTTATTTATTTAAAAAACATTTTTATCATGTAAGACTGAAGTTTTCTGGAAGTTGATGTGATTCAGTTAAGAAGGCCCCTGGGCTATGTAGAGGGACGATTGTATCTGAGAATTCTTTTACAAATAGTGTATCCAGAGTTTCAGAGATAAGGGGAATATTAATTACCTCTTTTTCAATAATAAAAAATGATACAGGCTTGCTGTTAATAATAATTAGTGTCCAGTAAACTCTTGAAAGTCAGTGTGTGGTTTGTGGGAATCTAAGGTATATATTACAAATGTCATTATTTTCAACGTCATTCATGTCTTGTTGAAACTCTGGTATCTGCCCTGTGTCTTACTGTGTGTTCCTCTCAACTTCAGGTTGATGTGTTCCCCAAAGATGATGGCAGCATGCAGCAGAAGAGACAAGATCTTCAGAAGGAAGTGGACAATGCCAAGAGAGCCCTGGCCCAAGAGGTGAGTGTGCTGCCATCTATTGTTGGCCTGTGCAGCTCTGTGAATACAAATCTGTGAAAACAAAGTTTTCTAAAGGTGGATTTAGATAGGCTGTCATTGTGTTCCGTCAAATTGTTAAATTATTTTCTTTAAGGAAACTTATACTTTTATGAAATATAAGATGTTAGAGACATTATTGTGAACTCTTTTTCTTCCTCTTTATCTTTTAACTATGAGTAAGACTCTGCCTACTACATGTACATATATGAATTCAAATATCAAATTTCCATGAAAATCGACAACACATAAGCCTCAGGATTTTTCTTTCAAAATATAGCAATTAAGTTTTGTTATTGGTAATTATAAGTTAACTGATAATATGTGTTTTTAATACCATTAAGCTTCATCTTTATAATCATGTATTTATTTATTTATTTTGTTGTGTAGAACTCCCTGACAGCAGTGGAACAGGTGAAGGTAGAGCAGAGTATAGCAGAGGAGGAGCAGTTGTTGTACGAACAGAGTGACCTGAGGATTGAGGTGGTAGAACTCACCAGGCTGGCAGCCATCAAGGTAAATAACTCCATCTTTTATATACTAGTAGTCTCTATAATAACTGTTGTACGAACAGAGTGACCTGAGGATTGAGGTGGTAGAACTCACCGGACTGGCAGCCATCAAGGTAAATAACTCCATCTTTTATATAGTCTCTATAATAACTGTTGTATGAACAGATTGACCTGAGGATTGAGGTGGTAGAACTCACCAGGCTGGCAGCCATCAAGGTAAACAACTCCATCTTTTATATAGTCTATACATCTGTTCATAAGTATATTCCTTTTTTTTCTTGCAGATGAACAGTACACATTATCTATGTCATATGTAAATGCTCATCTATTCAAAAGTCTATATTATTTCTATACAAAATTTAATTAAATTTATGACTTGTTGGATCATTTGATATTCTGTGAATGAGGCTTTTTTCTGGTTTCTAGATAGGATTCAAAACTGAATAACTGTTTAATCATTTAATATTATTTTGATATCCTTTATTATTTCAATTGTCATTCAATTATATTTTTTAATCTTCAGGCTGATGAGAGAGAGCAAAAGGCCAGAGATTTCATGAGAGCTGAGATGAGGTACCACAGGGCTATAGAAGACCTCAAAACAAAACAGTTACAGATCCAGGATCATGCTAAAAAGTATCAGGAGATGCAAGTCAAGTAAGTATAAAAACTCAAGTAAATATATTTCAAAAACAGATGGATTGATAAATGAAATAATAAACTGATTATATTTTTTATCCAGTTGATAATATTATGGGGGTTTCGTACTTTTAATTAGATTTAAGGGCAAGGATGCTTTTTATATTCATTAAGAACTAATTGCGGTTAAAAATCATTTTGAACTTCAAGAGTGTTTTGGGGAAGTTACCCAATGGAATTAATTTTGAAAATTAGTAGGTTGATGGAGAGAAGTGCACAAAGTTAGTAGTTTACATATAATTAATGATACCATTGTTTCCAGGTTAAAAGAATTTGCCAAACTGTACGATGTCATCAAGAATGAGAGGAACAAGTGTGTCAACTTGATCCAGGTCAGCACTCAGAAAGCTGCAGAAATGAGAGAAAAGATTAAGATCTTGTCCAATGAGATAGAAATCCTGAGAACAGCTGCAATGATGAAAGAAAGGTACAAATTAAAAGATTTTCTTGATTGAAAATTTAATTGAATTAAATGTCCTCTTCATACTGTTATTCTGATTTTATAACTTTACTTTAAAGTGATGCATACAGGGCATAATTATATCATCACAATCTTGTAGTGAAAACCTGCTCGAATGATATTAAATGCCATTTATTTACCTTTTGTTATTGAAGAAAAAGCATAAAAATGTGGACTTTGTCTTTCAATGGGATATAATGTTATGAACTATCTTCTTTTGTATAGAATACTTTTACCACATTTTGATATTTTTAACTGTACTGTACATGCATACTCACATAATCCACACTCAAAAAGATTCAGTACACACTTGATTCTTTGCCACAGATCATGATATCCTCAACATAAATCCACAATCATTTCAGGTCTCTCCAGAAGAGTCGATTGAAGCACATCAACAGTATAGTGATCAGAGACAGCCTGAGGAATGAGGTGGCCAAACAGGAGAGGATAGATGATGAACTGAGAGAGAAGAGAGAGCAGCAGAAGATGGACATTGCTAAGCTGAACATGATGATCAACCAAGCAGAGCAGCAGATGGTGGAACTCAGGAAACAGTATGAGACTTCTGTACAGCACAGAAATGACAGGTAAGGTGTTATAACAGTACATTTTGTTGCAGGGGCAGACGGCGGCTGTCTTCTTGGTCTTCCAGAATTTTTTAAAGTTTACATAGGCTCTATTCCCATAGATTTTAGATCGATCTATCCCCGCGGGGAGTCTCACTAGATTACTTTCAGATAATCCAACTTAAATGTCCGTCCCGCCTACTACAAGCTGTAAGGGGATAATTACCTTTCGTGTCTGCCCGGCTGACAGCTATTTAGCGTGAACCCCCAGGGAGTTAGGTCGATCTAAAGTAGGTCGATCTAATCTATGGAAATAGGGTGATAGACTGGCATCTAATGTTTTTCTGTCCCAAGACAGAAATGAAGAAGTGATCAACACAGATACTTGGGAAGACTGACAGAAAATATCTCTGGAATTGCCCTTGTGTTGTCTGTATGTAATAAGATGTTATATTTGGAGATTTCTGCACAGCAGACACCCTAAGTTTCAGAGTTTACTGAAAGCCAGTCTCTGTCAGAATGCTGTTGCTCTTTCCAGTTATGGGTTGTCAAAATTGAAAGAACAAGATTGACATGACCCATGGCAGGTGCAGTGCAGAATTACAGATGACCCATCTTGTCATATTTAAGTACACAATTTATCAGAAAAATTAATTACCAGGAACAAATAGGTTTTACTCGTAAATTTTAGAGTTGGAGATCATCAGTTGCTTCTCTGCAAAGGTACTCTGATATATGATGGAGGTTATGGCCTTTACGTGGAATTCTGATTCCCAATATTTTTCTTTTTTCTCAGGGGTATTGTTCTAGTTCAGACAGATGAAGAGGTGTGTATATTCTATGAAAAAGTCAACATTCAGGAGACCATGATCAGGAATGGTGACGTGGAACTCTCTGCCAGGGAGGAGGAGATCCGTTTCCTCAACATGCAGATGAATGAGGAGAAGAGGGCCATTGAGTTGCTGAGAAAACAGCTTCCTAACAAGAGAATGCTGGACCAGGAGCTGGTCACTCTACAAATACAGGTAGTTGTTCTTATTATTATTATTAGTAGTAGTAGTAGTAGTAGTATTAGTATTCATCTTGTCTATGAACTTTCTTCTGCTAGCACAGTAATAAGCTTAGCCGACATTATTTCCATTAGAGAGAGGGTGTTGATTGCATACTCCACACATGGTTCTAAGTATCTGGCCACACAATCAACTTTTGAGCTCATTACAATCAGCTTTCAAAACCAAATTTTGATTAACAAAGGCATATTTAGTGAGGAGGTGTCTCCAAACAGAAATGGACATAAAACAAGACAAGAGGGCAATAATAATGCTACAAATATAATAAAATAATGCATACATTTTAGTATTTATAACCCAAAAATTTAGCCAATTATACTATGGTTTAATAAAGTATCTCCCATTGTGTCTCCACAGCTGTCCCAGTGTCAGGACCGTATGTTGGAGCTAGAGAAGCAGCTAGAGAACCCGTATGATGAGACCAGGGTCAGATATCTAGAGGGCAGTGACCCCTCCCCGGCACAGCTACAGACTAAACTAGAGGAGGTAGGAACCATTGCTAACTTCAGTGATTCTTTACTAATAATTTAATGATTGTGATTATGCAAAGTGGTTGACTGTGATGATTTGCTGTCATACATTTTAGTTTATATACTTACTTCATTTTATCAGAAAAAGTGCTATATATTGTATAATAAAATCAAGTGCTTAGTCTTATTTTTGAAGATGTTTTGTTTAAGATACCCCCCGGTAGAACTATCTGGATTCTGGGAAGTCTTTTCAACTTTAGTTACTTATGAAGTCTTTTCAACTTTAGTTACTTATAAAGTTATATGTATATTGAGAGCTCACTCATAGAATTTTCTGCATTTCCTTTCAAAGCTTATTCCACTTCTTCAGATTTATCTTCTAAGGAACAAAGTCAATTGGCACAAATTTAGTTAAAGTTAAAATTCATGTTGCTAAGACAGCTATTTTTCATTTCAGTTAGAAGTACGGCTAGCAGAGAAAGAAGAACAGTTACTAGAAAAAGACCTCATCTTTGAGCAAGACACACGGTTAACAGAGAGAGTGAAGAGAAGGGCTGGAGCTGGAAAAGATGACACACTAGCACTTGCTAAAAAGGTATCTGGTTTTAGTTTTATGCAAGCTGTGTATTTTTGTCAGTTCATTATTTTTTTTAACATGTACAAGGAATGATTCATTGTGAAAATTATGTCTGATTTACTTAAAATTCAAAACAACACATTGGATGGAACAGGTTTACCTAGAAATACAAATTCCTATTTTTCTTTCGAAGTAAAGTGAAAAAAAAAAAGAAATTGATTCTAAGTGACATACAGGTGATTGTTGTCCAATGATCATCCAATCACTCTCATCTTATCTCGTATTCTCCAGGTTAATGACCTCCAAGGTAAAATCAAAGAAATGACGCGTAAGATGATGGCACAGGTGTCAGAGCTGTCCATGCACCAGGCAGCCGCCATGAAGCTTCAGCAGGAAGTGAAGGAGAAGGAGGCGGAGCTGGAACAGTGCTACATACGCATGGAGAAAGGGGAGCCACCTAGTGATGAGATTGAGAGGGAGTGGCAGCGCACACTGCGAGATGAAGAGAGGAGGTTACGAGACAAGGAGATGCAGAGCATGGTAAGTGCATGGTGAAACTCCATTAAAATCACATTTTATGTGGGTAGTTATTTAAACATATTTAAAAAGCATTCACTGCATGAGATATATGGTCTTATCACATATATTGATGCTTATTGAAATAAATGTTTCAAAATGTTGAAATAGCAAAAGCCCCAAGTTTTTTTTCTTTTTTTTTTGCTAATAAATTCCTATAATTTGAGCCAGGGACCAAGGTCTAACTACTGATGATAAGCTGTTAAGGAGTTGTCTAAAAAATATTTAGCCTATAATTATAAAGCACCGTATTGTGTTTCAAGCATTCTAGAACTTCATGATGGTGGATTTCATACTGTATCTCTTGTACTTGCAGGTTGAGGCCGAGGCTGAGCAATATACTCTACCTGGAGGTATCACCACGGCTGCCGAGCCAAGACCAAATGCGTACATTCCAGACGACGACAGTGAACTTCCCATTCCACGACCTTATGGCGCACATGCCCCCTTCAAACCACAAGAGCCTGGCTCGACCATGAGGCACATACGAAAACCAGTGCCCAAGCCTATTGAAATATAGATCCATTATGTCAAAAATGCTTCTTGTAAACATTGTGATGCCCACTGTTTCATTATGGCAGTGTACTAGAGTGATTTAGTGGTTGATGTTATTTTACATGATGACCCGTCCAGAAAGATGAAGTTACTGTGATATTTGCTATCATGTTTTACATGATCTTTGTGTATAATCTGACTATTTCAGACAGGATAGCATTACCCTTACAATGAGATTTTAGGATAATGAATTAAGCAAATTTGAAAAGAACACTACTGGTTGAGAGTGCTGTCATGCTGGGACAATTTATACAGGATTATTTATGTGGAATCTGCCAGTAGTTGTCCTACGCCCATTTTTATTGTTCAGATGGTATTATTTATGGAAGTTGGACACTGTATTGTTTTTTTTTTAATATTTGTTGTCTGATTACAATGAACTGAAAGAAAACTACCTATACTTTATCTACCTACCATGTAGAGAATTTTTTGATGTTTATTTTTTCATTTTGAATTGTAGTAATGATTATTTTAACACTTTTATTCATAAAGTTGTTTTAATGATTTTTGTCTTGGCTGTGTAGACAGAAGAGTTTGAAGTCAAGTGAAATTGGGCATCACACCAAAATTTGTACAGAAATATAGATTGAGCAATATTTATCATGTATGTACATATATGTATATAATTGTTAATAAAATGAAAATCTTTATATAACTTTATATCAAATCTGTTGCTTTGATTAAAAAAAGGCATTCAAAGTGAGAAAGACATATTCCTAAATTCATAATTATTGATTTAAAAACCAAGTAACTAAATCTTTGTATATCCCGATGTTGGTAATTTTAAATTCTGCTTTCCTTATCTATTAGCAGTTCCACATAAAATACATTTGTTAGATTAACAATATCCATTTATTCACTGCCTTAACTTTACAATTCCTTGTAAAAAAAAAAAAGGAGTGCACCAAAATGTTTAAACGAGAGGAAAGTTGTTGGTTCCGACAAACGTCTTTAATCATCAACCTCACAATTGCAATCATTTTAATGCTTCAACAAATATGAAGGGGTATTAACTATTTCCTTTTCCTTCAGTTTACATCCTTCTATGTCTTGGTTTCTTTGTGATAAATATCTCTGATGTTGTAAAGAAGCACTGGTACAGTTCATTCGCCGTCTGCATTTGATCCTCCCAAATTTTAGAGGGCAGACCTAGTCAGACGGAAATTGCCAGCAGGCAAATTTGTAACAAATAGAAATCTTCCAAGTGAAAACTTCATGCTTCTCCCCATCTTAAATTAACTACCCCTTGTAATGGTGCATTTAGTTTAACAGTCTGTGTGTCCCAAGTGGAAGGAAGATGTCTGACAGTCCCGCAGAAGGGGGCGGGGGTATTTTTGTATTAATTTTGTTTCAGTTTCAACACTGGTGAATTCTTCAAGTGCTTCTGTCCAAATGTGTTTACTATCACCTTGTATAAACTGTCTTTCAGGAACAAACTGTGAATGATATTATTCAAACTGGTTATGTTGTGCAAATAAATGGAGGAACTAGGTGTGAAGTGACTTCAAGTACCTAGCAAACAATGCTTTTGTCAGTTGATCTGATGGCATTTCCTATTTGACTGAATGCCTGGTTTAGTTGGTCATAATACCCACCATAATAATGGGTTCGCTGATATTGATTTCTTTATTCTAATATCAGACACCTTATTTATTGCAATGACGATGGTCACAAATTACACATACAGTATATCAAAGTATGATATCGATCCATAATTTACAGGTGAATAAGTGATGATTACATCCACTGTAAATCATGACACCTCACTTTTCTATTATTCTTGGCTTTCCTTCTGACCCTGAAAAGCCTTGTTTTCAATAGCTTTTATGAAATCCCTGTGGTGCTTTAAAATGGTCAAAGAGCACAAAAAATATAAATGTATGGAAATTACCCTCTCCCAACCCTCCCCCATTGTGAGTCAATTTTGGATTAAGGTAAGCATTTTCTTTCTTTTTTTTTTTTTTTTTTTTTTTTCAAGAAGAAAGCTTCTTGTAACGGCTCAACAAAGCCTTTCTTCATCTCCTTAAAAGATGGAATAGAATGGAAAAATAACTTTGCATGCCCCATGTAGATAAGTTCAACTTGGCAGTGTGAAATGCTCAAAGCAAAATAAAACAGAAATGATTTGAATGTATCTTCGTCTGATAGAGTCAACATGCATACATGAACATTGCCATTAACTAGGCGGGCCAACTAGGCCAGTCAATTTCAAGAGGTTTACTGGCAATTGTGACACTGTACCAACATTAAATTGTCTCTTTTCCCCTTCCTACAAGAAATACAGAAATGGAATTTCAAAACAGCTAGTAGAGGTATATTGCAATACCATTGGAACATGTTAAAAATATCACTGATCAATGCATTCTTGACGTTTTCAGTGCCTTTGTTTTACTCATATGTTTTCTAACAAGGCACATTTTTTTATACATTTTTAATTATCATTTTATTTGAATAATTATGTTTCTAGGAAATGCATTTCCCAATAAAAACTCATGCTGTAGCTCCTCATGTGCAAATATTTGATGGGTATTTTTTTTTCTCAGATATCACCCACTTCGAAGCCATATTATCATGCTATTTGGTTCTAAATCTCATTTCACAAAGTGCCAACTCCTCTTTGCCACCTTCTGCTTAATCTGGTGCCGTTTCCTCCTGGATAACCAGAAATAATTGTTTTCACCCTATGGGAGCAAATGTGTCGACTTTGGGATTTATTTATCATCTCTTTACACCATCATGTTTATTTTCATAGGCAAAACATGCAGAGGGAGATTAGCTGCTATGTGGTGATGCTTCATCCATAAGGAAAACAAAGATGATAATTTTAACCATCTTGCGCATGGACCTTCATAATCGCAGTATCTTAATAGCCAGTTACAAAATGTGAAAGCAAACTTGAGGCAAAATGCTTTTAATGTTGAAGCAGTCCACAGAACCCAAAAATAAATTTCTTTTTGCTCTACCCCAGACTGCCTCTAAAGTCAATTATTTTCCATGCCTGAATACATGCATGCGCAATATTATGTACTTAAGAGACTTCAGTGGCAAACATATCAACCACATGGACCATATGAGTTTAACTAACAATTTTAATTGTTAAAACATGCACTCTAGACTTGAGAATTAAAAACAAAATAAAATTAATACTTTTTTGTTAATCTGCTGGTATAAGCAATCCAAAAGTGTCATTTAGATCACAGGATATGCCTAAAAAAAAAAAGCGGAAGTGATTGTAAGTTTGCACTTCTTTTCCATTGTGTATATTATTTTTCTGGTTCTTGAGGTACACCCTTACTATTTCTTACTATTTCCGGGCTGAAGAGGGGGGGTCTACAGTATCGCCTTTTTGTCCAGAAAAGGTTCTCTCTGACTCAAAATTTGACCTAGATTGTATTTCATTGCTCAAATTGCATCAACTGCGGGGCTTGATGGGACCATTTTTTTTCTGAAAAATCCTCCAACCCCGCCCACCCCCTTTTTGAAATTACTGACTACTGTCTTGGATTCAGCGGGGTATCAGGTACAAAATTCTATTTTATGGCTGTTAAAAACTAGTTAAGATAATGTCGGTATTTAGCAGTGATAAGAGGGAAATTATTCTCATATTGTAGCCCAGACTGCATCAGAAGAACGCAGCTTGGCACTGCCCCAGACGTATGAAGGAAAACATAACAAAACGGGAAATCTGAAGTTAGTTCACATATTTTTCCATTTATTTCAGCTCCAGCAAACTTGAGCATCTCAAATGAGTTTATTGCATCTGGTTCCTAATACAAACTGTGGTTTATTGTAAAGATGTGATGACTAGGTCTACTACCAGTACATTTGTGATCTCTCGGCCTTTAATATCCCTATACTTATCTTCACTATACACATATTTCATATTTATAATAAATATACATATTCATACCAAGCAGAGTAGGAAGATGACAATATTTTTTTCATTTCTTCTTTGGATCATACTTGTTATTAAAGGCAGAAAGTGTGATAAGACAAATAAAAGTTAAACACTTTTATAAACAAATGTTGTTTTTGCATTATTTTTAAGTTATTTTAAACAATTTTAATAAATGAGCTTTTTTAGTTTGATTTTTTAAATTTATATATGTGCAACCAGTACATGTCCAGCTCACCTATTTGCACAAATCCACAAAACAGGCCTTTGAAATTATATATTTGAGCTTATAATTTCACACAATCAATAAAAATTCCAAATAACACTTTCTACTTAAAACAGTAAAATAACAGTGACTTAAATATGCAAAAAAATGGACTTTTTTACAGTCTCAAGTTTTCATTCAAACTGCAAGGATGAAAAACATTTTTTTCTTAAATTTCTAAACCTCAATCATTTGCACAAATTGCTGTATCTTAATACCAAACTGTTACACTTGTAGTATTGCGTTTCCAAAATAAATGAATAAATAAAACAACTGAACATGTTTCAATTTATAAAAACTCAAACAATTCAGCACAAGTGGGCAATGGATTCCCACACTTCAAGGACCAGTTGAACTTCATGAACTCAGAAGTCATGCAACATTTATACAACCAAGTACAGTATTTATCTAGCAGTGCTGTACCTACTTTCACAGCCTGGCCTAATCCCCAAGCTTAGGCAATCAGTTTGTCTTAACCTGCTGGGGTGAGCCAGTTTCACAACTAAAATATCAAATATAATGCAATGCACTGGACAAGATTGCTTTTCTGAGATTCAGAACATGTAATCTGCTGCAGCATTGAGGAACAAAGCCAAACAACATATGCCAGATCATAGGAAGTTCTCATTGTGTGGGAATACACAGTGGTCTTAGCCATTAAAATTTTTCCAAAAATAACACTTCATATAAAAGATACATCATGCATTTTGATCCACAGAGGCAAAAAAAATTCATAAAGAATCTAAAAAATCTGGTCATCTCATTTAGTAAAGCCCCTAGGTTTTTTTCCTTCAGTTAAGACCCCCAATAATAAAGCATTCTGTTCCACACCAGAAGAGATTGTGTTCAGAAAGTTGCCAGGTCAGCAGTAGGCCACCTCAGTCACCCAATGGGCCTTGTGCTGGGCAGGTGACCATCTGGACTATGCAGCTTTCTAATGACGTCAAAGAGAATGTTTCAGTGTTTATTTCAGCTAACAATGTATGGTTGCACGTATAACACTGCAGGTGCAAAGGAGGACTTTGCGCCAAATGTCACACATTTTTTAATTTTTTAACAAATGCACCATGACATTAGTTAAATGTTAATATAGTGTGAACAGTACAAACTAACAGATTTTAGCCAAGATTACATCCTCTGATCACAGAATAAAGAAACATTGAAAATATGCTCATTGCCTACATCGACAGTATATGATCTATATTTCATCTTCTGATAATTTCCTTACACATGAAGAACAGGATGTTAACTCATACCTTGCTAAAACAACTCAACTATATCTTTGTATTATGTAGTCAATATGACAACTATAAAAATCCAAGAGAAAACACAAGGAATGCACGTGAATGTTCACTCAGCTTAAACAAAGTGAAGAAAGTGGTCTTAGGGTGCATTCCCCATCATGAAAGTGATCAACTTCCGTTCCAGCTCAGCTTCTGGAAGCTTTTTCACTTCGTTTCGAGTGCAACTGAATGTACCTGGAAGTTAATCGACCCCCTGGCTTTGAAGAAGGCATGTCATTCAATTTATTTGACTGTAATCAGCAAGAGTCTCCATGCAGTTGGAGTGTTCTACATGTACCTAGTACCGTAGTTTCATTGGGAGTGCACCCTTAAAATCAATATCTGATTATTTTTCATTTGGAACTCCACAGAGTGCATTTATTAAGTTTATTTGGTAAAAATTTTTAGGACCTACATCTATGAAATTCCAATGTATTTTTAATGTGTGTGCATGCATGTTTTTGTGTGTGTATGGCTCTATTCCCATAGATTTTAGATCGATCTATCCCCGCGGGGAGTCTCACTAGATTACTTTCAGATAATCCGATTAAATGTCAGTCCCGCCTACTACAAGCTGTAAGGGGGTAATTAACTTTCGTGTCTGCCCGGCTGACAGCTTTTTAGCGTGAACCCCCAGGGAGTTAGGGCGATCTAAAGTAGGTCGATCTAATCTATGGAAATGGGGTGCATGTGTGTTTGTTCTTTATCCATTATAAGAAGAAAAAAAAACATTTTAACATCAATCAATAACTTGTAATTCTAAAATAATCCATAACTTTTATAACATATTATTTGAGTCAGACTAGAGTCATAAGGTACATGATTACTGACTAGTTTCTATCAATACACATTTTCTTTTGGAGAAAAAGTACACAAAAACAAACATTATTAAATAAAAACAGGAAACTGGTTTCTGCGAGGGAAAAACAATGATAACAGCCAAATGACATGTACCTTTTGTAAATTCATAACTTCACATGCAAAATTGTGAATGTAAAAAGGTTTTTATGCAAGTTATGCAGTAAAGGAAAAATGCTGCTCAACAAAGATAAAATGAAGTCAATCTGATAAACAAACCATCATTCCCTTACTTATTGAATGTGCGTTCACACATTTGGTCCTTTTGCAACTTGTGCTTCAATTTATATTTCTGGTCAAATCAACAGTCAGTCTTACTCAGCTATTGACAACACTTACATTCGAGTGTAACTGCACTGTTCCCTAAAAAAATCATTATTCAATCTTCACACCCCCAGTAAATTATCCTTTTTTACCGCTTTATATTCTTCATACTTCTTTGCCAGATACTGTGTACATAAAATAAATCTCAGCTCTATCTAAACATCAACCTTTTATTTTTTCCTTGGCAGTCAGTTTCTGCACCTTAACCATCTTGTTTTTTGATGTATTTATCTTTGCTGTAGGTAATGACTTGACACCTTTGAAATGGGGATATTCATAGCCAAAAAGAGCAAAATCTACAGAGAACAATTCCCATAAATTGTGAATATCTATGGGGGATAAATTCTGAAACATTGTCAGTGTTCTTTCCTTCGTGCTAAGTCCGGTTCTTGGTGGCATAGTTGGAAAAGAGAGTATGTCATCTAGCCCCACCATTCGTAAAATGTAGTCTGCATCGTCTGCAAGTGTTTCGTATTTTCCAATTATATCATATTGTATAACACAAGGGTGACAAAGGCGGTAAAATGGCCGCCAATGCTCATTGAGCTGTTCAGAAGATTTTTTGGCATCAGTCAGATAACGAATAAACTCCTCAAAAGTCACATCGTTCCCTTTCTTCAGAGAATCCTTTGTGGCATTTTTGCGATAGAGATAGACTATTTTTCTTCCAAACACTTTTTGGAAATATTGGCTGTAGGGTAAAGTGAATTTATTCCTATATGCAGACACCAGTCTTTCTAGAGGTTCCCGCACGAACATGAACTTGAAATACGTATCCAAACGATACCGGACTTCTTCTGGCGAGTAAGAACTGAGCTTGGGTATAAAATGTTTTTCGTGAGCATCGGAGCCGCTAATTTTCATGGGATCAGTGGTGTTGACAAGACCCATAGCCACAACTAATATCCTTTTAAAATTTGTTGAAGCCACTTTTGGAACTTTACAGTATATGAGCTTATGCTTGTCATCTACATAGAGATGATCAAGTAAACTTGGGTCTACATTTGATGTAGGATGAATTCCGTTTGCCTTGCAGAATTTTCTGACAGTTTCTTGGCGTTCTTCTTGAATTTTTGCAAGTGCTTCATCGCTTAGTGATATAACCTAAAAAAGATGGAGCAAAAAGAATGTGCATAGCAAGAATAGGAATATAAGCAATGTTTTAGTATAAAAATTTTTGGTATAGATAATCTAAGTCAAACTTGTAAATAAAAGTCTTCAAAGTATAGTTACGCATATCAAAAAAGTAAAAATCTTCCAAAACAACTAATGCTTCACATTCAACTAAAGCCATTCATATCCAACTTAAATACTGTAATAATCACATTAGCATTGTTTTCTCCAAGTACAGACATGAATTCTATCAGGTGATTATTTCCTGCCATGTTACACGTTACAAGAACAGAGTAAACACAGTAAACATTCATAATTTACCCAGTGTAGAATGTGTTCTTTAATTATATCTAAGACATTTTAAGGTAAAATATTTCTTATTATGGCAAAGTATATCTTCCTATAAAAGCTTCACTAGACATCAAAAATCTAGTAAAAAGTCACTGGCTTATCTGTACTAATATAAGTATTATTTTTCCAACAGGCAGGTGAAAGAGGCGGAGAGGAAGAGGAAAGTTTGATACTTGCTTCACACTTTATCAGATCTGCAATGGGGGAAGTTAGAGACTGAGTTGGGGGGGGGGGGCATCCCCCCTAGGCCCCACCTAAATTAGAAGCAAATGAACAAGTAGAAAAAACACCAGATACTTACCATTCTTCTGTGTTGGGGAGGCATGCCATAGATTACTCTATCTGGAAAAACACAAAACAAACCTATTTTAATCACCTAGTACATGACCTGCAGACTGAACCACATGTCTTTCAACATGTACACTTCAGCCGATCAGACTTTCTAAATTTCTGGGTTGAGTTTGGTTTATTACATCAGTGAAATTTCATTTAGGTTCAAATTTACAATGACTGCAGCAATGAGGTTCCCCAAATCCCTGCAGCAGTTTTGTAAATATGAGGAATGTGCTCTAAGTGATTAAGTGCTTTATGTTTAATTGTACGGTAATGGCTCGAATTTTTGAATGGGGAAAATGATCAATCTTTCACATACACAATTTTGGAATCGTTAAAAATTACATTTCTATGAAGCATTTGTGGTGCTTATACTGTGCAGCATATAACTATATAGTAGCCTGCTTTTTAATTTTGTTACTTCTACTCAGTGCTCCAATTCTAAGAATTTATGACTTCAAACAATCCATTCTTCATTGCATTAAAAAGATTGAGCCAATACTGTACTTTCTATTTTTTCTTAAATATTTCCAAACCCCCATTTACATGTGCTTCCATACTCTATTTTGAAATAAGGGTATTTCTAGCACTTTTTCATGTTTAGCTAGTATAAGGGGAATTTATAAAAGCAAAAAGAGCAATCAGTGATCTTAGGATTGTCACAGTACATGACAACAGTCATATTAATAAAACATTTATATATTCTATTGATTTTTACATGGGGAGCGATTCACTTCAATTATCAATTACAAGAAAGGGGCAATATTATCATACAACAATCATTTCACCCCAACTGACTATGTGACTCACATTATATCCACATTATCACCCTATTAATATTTCAAAATTCTTTGTGGTCCATTAAGGACAAAGGAAACCGTAGTGTGTATACAGAAAAGATAAAGAAGAGATTTCTGAAGCCAATCGGCCAATTCCATTACCAGCGTGTGTGTGGTATGTTGTTGTATGATTTGTCCTGGGGTTAACACTTCCACACACATGCACCTGTACTAACACATACACACTGGCTTTGACATTTGCTCTGAATCGGAGTGTAAATAACACATTAAAACTAAGCTGGCTTTACTAAATGCCATTTTTCTGCTCTTTTCACTGAATGTTTATTGGGGAAATTAATTCAAAAGAGACGGGGAGGGTCTGAGATTTTGGATAGGGATCAGACACTACCAAAAAATTTTGGATAGGGTGTTAGTTTGGTGATGATAGAGGTGAAATAGTTTTTTGGCTTCTTTTTTTTTTTAATCATCTCACAATTAAGCATGACTTGGGGCAACTGCAATGGTAACTAACCTCAAATTGTTATGTTAAAGAACTTGCACTTCAGGCAATTTCAGTCAAAGATTTAATTTTGATGAGAGGGGAGAGGTGCTTTGCCCCAAGTGATATACCTTCTTGTGATGCAACAAAATACCCAGACAGGTCATTTGTCAGCACAGCTGCAACAGACTTGGCTATCGTTCAAGAAAGATGTGTGCATTATTCAGTTTCATATTTTCACTGTCAAAATCCCATGACGAAAAAAACATTAGATAAAACAGTACATCAAGTTGATAGCCATTGCCTGTTAAAGTTTAAAGGGGTCAATAAGTTCAGAATAAAGCTTGGTGGGGAGAACAAGGAATTCAGCATGCCTTTGCTAAGACATGAAATTTTGGCACACCTTGTTCATTGAATACTAAGTAAGAGACTAAACATCCAACAACCCCTCCCACCATCACCCAGGTGGGGAAAAGGGGAAATAGAAATCAACACCTGCAATAGAATAGTATGCTGTCTAATGCCAGTGAAAACCTTGCACTCACTACAAATATCTTTGGTATAAGAATAATACCTGTTACAGACTAGTATGCATGTTATAGAAGTTTGGGATAACGACATTTGTTACAGAAGTCTGTGGAAAAAATGTACTTGACGTGGGGGAGGGGGGAATGTGGTCCTTTCCCAGGCTGCTTTAGATAACTGATCTAAAATGTTATCATTTCTCAAACTGTTTTTAGATAGTTGACCTTAAAATGGACACTGATATCTGGTGAACTTATTGGACCTATACTGGTAGGTCTATGGGAAGGTGCTTCAATAGAGTACCTTCTTACACCTGCCCCCCCCCCCCCACCCACCCACACACACACACACACGGTGTGTTTTAATACACAATTTTTTTTATCACTTTTCAAGTGGTTTATGGTAGACTGACAACAAATTTAGATCATTCTAAAATTTCTATCATCACTTGGTCAGGCCCAAACTTACCCTTTCATTTTTTTTCAATATAAATATAAATATAAACATTGTTATGTGAATTCAAACATCAAAGTATTTGAATGTACGGTAAATACAACAGACTACATATGTACTTTCTATTAAATTTAATACAATGTGCAATATGACAGATAGTTTTTACCACAATTTATATACTTTGCAAATATTTGTTAAATTGTATGTCACTTCCAGGCCTTTTCTTGTCTCTAATTAACATCAGATACCAAGTGATTTATTCTGAATCAATGTAGACAAAAAGTTTTGATTACTAACTTTTGTTCACCTTAAGTTTTAGGTGAAATTGATGTCAGAAGACAGAATCGTGTGAGAATTGCCTTTTAATAACAACTGCTTATCAAGGTGTGAGTGAACAGACACTCACAAGGTGACTGACTAAACATGTGCCGAAGCTGAAACTACACCATCATCTGAAACAACACCATGGCTACCATAACCCGATTCAGCAAACAAAAAATGATAAATGATATATTTGCCCAGTGACAGCTACACTGAAGGATGTCTCTTTTGTGGCCCTGCTATGCTAAAGGTAACCAATTCCCCTGTGGGAACTGAAAATTTGGCACTGAACAGCAAAGATGAAATGTAGATATTTGTGATCCAGACATGTCATATTTCCTAACAAAATGCTAATTTTATGAAGTCCTGTAACCAATTATTTAAGAGGGGGGTCTTTTCCCTGAAAAAGTTAACTTTTTTACCCTCTCCCCCCCTTTAGTTTACCCAAACTGAGAAATAGCAAAGAACTTGGGTTAAATTTTGATTTAAAATAAAAAAACTTCTGCCACCAAAAGATGACTTTAAATAACAATTGATTCTGCATGGACCATTTCCCAACCAAAGGGCATGCAGTTCTTTTGCCTTCTCCCCCCACCCCCCATTTTTCCCCAAAATACCCAAGTCTCCTAGTGTTTAAACCATGTGGATGCATCTTTAAGGTCCGAAGCCGGTCTATACTACATCAGTCACATTCACAATGATTTAAATGCTGTCCCCAGCAACCGTGATCTGCCGCACACCACGACATTAGTAAAAAATCATGGACAATAGTTTTTTGAAGTTATTTTTTTGTTCAGTTATTACCAGTCTGAAGTTTAACGATCCATTCTTTCACCCAAAAAGTTCTACCACCCTATTTCTCCCCTCCCCCACTCTATCCGGAACTGAATAAACTGGATCAAATCCAGAGTACATGTACTTTGTGAACCCCGATTTTCAGACTACACAGGAAACTCACTCCTATCACTTCATCACCAGCATATATCAGTACTAGACAGGTTATGCAGGGTAGAAGTGAGTACCCATCAGTTTTCTATAGCAGGGGACGATTTGTTTTGGCTCTGTCCAAGATCTGTTTGAAACTTTATAAACAATGTATGGGGACTGCCTGATAAAGAACATACTTTTTCATGTGGCTACTTTGCTAGAATGACAAATGTAGAAGCACATGTTATAAGATAATTAATACTTATTTAATGATGGGAATCTGGTGTCCAAAATCTGAAACTGATCCAAACTTCTTATTAAATAACATGCACATATGTGTAGTTTCTCTTGGTCTTAGCAAGCATGTAAAATGCTTCTGCTTGAAAAATTGCCCTGGATTGATTTGACCAAAGGAAAAACAATCCAATTTCAGTTCTCCAACCTGTCACAGATTTCTTTGTCAAAAAAAAAAAAAAAAAAAAAAAAAAAACCGGGCTGAAGTAATAATATTAGGGAAAGTGGTCAGAAACAACATGCATGCTGGAAAGATCCCAATGCAATGCTTTGTACTTTTTTCCCCCCAATTTTCACTCCTGTTACTTTGAGAAGGGTCAGTGTTGTTCCTACTGTGCTTAACTCTGAGTGGACAGACATAACAGACGCTACAACTCAAATACAGGAAGATTCCAGCAGAGTTTACAACTGCAGTAATTCTAAATGCCAGGCCTTGTTCCATGGGATCTTCCTTTAACTTGAACCTTGGTTAGATATTATCTATGTTATTTCCCCATATGTTTCTTTCTGAACCACCAGAAAATGCCAACAGACTACTTGAGATATCAAAAATCTGTTACATTTTCATAATTTTCCTAAGAGCACTGTTGTAAATTACGTTTTTTTTTTCAAATGTCTTTTAATTTAACCAACCTATTTCTGTTATTTTCTCCATTAAAAAATTCCATAACAATTTTAAGACAAAAAATGCCCAAATTAAGTTAATTATTAATCTTTAAGCATGCACCTGAATTTTATCAAACAGACAGTACGCTTGTTTTGAATGGGACCATTATACTAGTAGCTTTACTACCAATACAACAACGCCAACACTGTCAATCGAAACCATTACATAATATGGCTTTGACAACATTGAATGTGACTGTTATTAAACTGAATTCCTGCATACATATATAGTTACCAACCTGTTGAAAGCAGATTCACCAGCAACACCACGGATACTACGAGAGCCATCCATCCTAGAACAACGGCAAAAACCCGCATCTTGCAACAGCGCAGCTTCCCCATTGTAGAACCTACTGGTACTAAGCAGAAACTAGGCCGAGATCATCTGAAAAAAAGTGCTGTAAATTTCACCCTGAGTCGAAGTTCTCGGCTCTCTCTGACGACACCCCCAGCTTTCAGCAGAGTGTTGGGGGTAGCGAAGGGTTGCGAAGTCTCCTCACAAACGTCTACGCGCCGGGCGATCCTGAAGCCATTGTCTTAGCACCGTGTTTGTGGAGGAGTTAAACCGTCCATGTGTGGCTTCGGCTCCCAGAGTCTGCTTTCAATTAGAATGCGAACATTCAACGCCATCTCTCGGGGAGCAATAGATTTATTCGTTCGGCTTCGACAAACAAGAAAGTGATTGTTGAAACGCACTTGTAATTGCTGCTTCTGTCGGACCACAAACCACATGCCGAGGATTAACTCGCCAGATTACGAATGCGCAACTCACATGTTGCTTTTATATCTCCGAAAATATATATCCGAAGATCTAGGAAATCAAGATGGGGGGGGGGGGGGGGGGGGGGAGAGGGAGAGGAACCGGGGAGGGTTTCCCTTTTTATTNATATCAGATTGATGCCCTCGTGGCCATTTCAGAAACCTCTTAGTGTGAATCTGATGTCTGGAAATATCAGAAAAACAAAAGTAGTTGGGTGAATCAAGTGTGATAAGAAAGATGTTTGTATTTGATGTAGAGAATGATAATGAAGGTTTTTCAGGAGGGTGAAGGTGAAAAAAAATTGATATATAGGTAGTGTGCTCTATTTTTTGTTTTCCTTGTATGAGCTGTGGGCTGGTTAACCAGCATCACTAAATCATATTATTACATGCAGTGACTGGGGGGGGAGAGAGAGAGAGAGAGAGACTCGCGTAGTGTTCCCCTTTTAATTCTCAATGCTTTTCTGAATTGGGCTATGTGGTGACTTTGACCCATGCCTCTGCTATTCAAATGGATTTATTTGATAATCTACGTCATGATTGTTTAACAGGAAGCTTTTTAAAGTCCACACAATACAATTATAATGAATTCCTGTGTCATATTGGTGAATGTTGAAGATTTTTAATTGATTAAATTGCTATACTGATTTCTTGGAATAGCACAGATATAAATCACGGTCAGAAAAAAAAATCGTCGCAAAACCAAAGACTTGCATGTACGAGCCTGTAGGCATAGGAAGTGGGACTCTTACTACATGTACAAACATAAATGTTTCTTAAGTTATGTAATTCAAACCAAAACATCATACATTGTATTACATAACTGAACGGAACGCACGTTGTACACAATACAACCTTGTAGAGGACGTGCAAACCTACATACAACATGCTAGTTAAGTATAAGGCCGTCAAAACACGAACATATTTTTGGCCTTCGTCTTGAATGAAATTGCTACACGGATATAGAAATATTGATGGCGCGCAGAACATGACGGAAGTGTAACTGACAACGCCTGGGTGTAGCAGCATTCAACACATGTCTCTCATGGTCTATGATACGACTCAAACCTGCCCTTGGATGATTCTCCGAATACGTTTGAACCCCTTCTGGGAACGTAATGGTTTAAAATTTTGGCTCTTAAGTGAAGGAATAGACTCGAAAATGCTGCATATTTGCTTAGGCAATTAAACACGGATAGGAAATGAAGCATCGCGTTTTAGGTTTTTACTCTTCATCATTATCCACCGTGATGCAGTGGATTTTACTTTTTCCACGTGCAAAACATGTATTACCTCGGTCTAATAAAGTCAGACCCAGTGCCTTTTACATGTAGCACTCCATAAAATGAAGAAATCGTAGTCCCAAAAACGCAAGAAACAACACAGAAACAAACGTCAAATTTTTCAAAGATAATGAATATAGTCATCTTTGTCTTGTTCCCCTCGGTCGTGCTGTACTGTGGCTCAATGAGACAGAAATAAAATATTTCTCTTAAAATATCTCTTGAAATTTCTCCTATTTACGTATCATTGCCTGATCCTTGGATTTGAAGTTTTAAATCATTTCTAATTAGACAGGGGCGTAACCAGGCATACGCACGGATGCACTGTGCGTACAATTTTTTGAGCCAACCATGATATTATTCTCCATAAATTCAGTGTATTTTTCACGGAATATAATCGTACCTGGGAATTTTCAAAATCTGTGCGTACAATTTTAAAAGGTCTGGTTACGCCCCTGTTAGATAATCTAGTTCTACATGTAAGATCGTTCTGTACATTTCAGAAAGAAATAGTGACATCAATTACTTTTATTTGAGGGGTTTTATCGTTTTAAAAGTCTGAATTTGGGAAAAGATAAGAAGCTTTGCAGGATACAAAGACTAAGAAAATATGATTTTAAGACATTTTGATACTCGTATAGTATATTTTGTTCCAATAACGCGTCTTCAGTTAGGACTTTTAGTTACAACACATAAGTTAAATTGATTCTCTATAGTGTAATGAGAGCACTTAATACGATTGAATTAATAACAAGCTTTAATAAAAACATAATAATTAGGCAAAATTGCCTCTTGAAAGTGATCACGCGCCCCCTCCCCCAGTCCCTCTATTCTTTCACCTGTGCTCTGTCCTCCCCTCTCTCTTTCTCTCTCTCTCTCTCTCTCTCTTACTCTCTCTCTCTTACACAGACCACACATACCTAAATAACAAGGCGTATTGCAGTAGTAAGTCAAGTGTTTTTCCTTAACTCAACTGTCGCAATTCACACTGCCACATTCAACTTCTCATGATGCGCGTTTTATTTATATACACAAACACAATATGCCAGACTTAATTGTTCGCGTCTTAAAATCTGGCTTGGCGAATCGCATATAAAAAATGTAATTACGTTATACGAGGAGGGAGGGGCTACAAGGATACTAGCCCTACTAGTAGTAACGATGGCTGAAGACCAGCACGCACTGGTAATATGAATCGTGTTCCAGCATGGTAGGCCTATATTGGCACAAGATACATGGTTTCACGAGATCATATTGGCTCTTTTAAAAACAATTATACGTGATGAAGCACAACTCTTGTAAATCTGAATAGAAATAAAAATTGAATGCGTTATTTGAAAAGTAAAATCGAAATATATCATATAGCTCATTCACATTGTTCACTTATTTTATGTCAGATTATCTAAAAATACTTTTGTATGTTTTGTAGGAAGAGTCCGAGTAGATAGTCTGCCTTCTTGAGCAAAGGTGCCTTCCCTTTACGTTATCGGGCACCTGCAAAAACAGTCGTCTTGAGTAACGTGTCCCATGAAGACGTGCATGTAGGATGGTATTGAAGAGAGTTGCCTGTTTTCTATAGTTGTAGATAGTTCAGATATAATGCATATTTGTTCAGATATTCATGTTCATACTATTCTTATACATGGGTGTAATTACATACAAGATGAAGATACAACGGGAATGAATCAGCCGAGTAAGTTCGGTATTTCTTCCAACCACAAACGCATTCTTTGTGGAAGAATATTAACTTTGGCCTGAACTGCGTCCCCTAGCTCTATGTAGGATTGATTGGACGTCTGGAACTCTGGCCACGTGACCCCGGTCCCGTTATTGGGGTTGCTGAAACGATAAAATTGACAGATCTATGATAAATGGCAGGTGTGCATCCCTGAGGTGAGGGAATAACGTGTATGGGTTGGTTTGATTTTGTTTGAAAACATTACGTCCATGTTCGTATACAGCACATTTCTCCAATCTGCCTTGTGTGTACTCTGCGTATAATGCAATGGTTCCAGTGCTACTCATTATAGCGACTATTTTACTCAGTTTGTGACTACTTATTACATTTGTTTGCATGCTATTTTTTGAAAATTTTAATTACGAGTCAAGCAGTGGGTGTCATCCTTATAATCACCACAATGCCGCCAAGCATTAAATCGCCAAAGTCTAGAAATTAACGAAACGGTTTGCCTCGAACTCTGAAACTCAATGTATACAAGACTAATATGCGTTAAGTTGAAGCTAACTAATTCGAAATTGAGACTCAAAAGTGATACACACCCCGTTTTCGCAAAGTTTGACCAGTATCTCATTATCTCAAGGGATAATTTCTGTTCTTCCGGTGTCAAGTTTGTTCCAGACGGATACATGGTTTTGGCGCCAAACACATACGGCAGTTCGTCCACGTGGTTGGCGCCCTTTATCCATGGCATCGTGGGGATCATGTGATGCGACGGCACGTGCGTGAAATAAAATTGGTACGTCGTGCCATGCAGTGGCGCAGTGGAATTGGCGTGTTCCCTAAGCAGCTGCAGGGTCGGCGCTACAAACATCATGTCTCCGTACATGTCCACTAATTTTCTCCCCTGAGTTACTATGTCCACTTTGGGGTCAGCAGCGTACACCTTGATGATCGCGTCCTGTATTTTGTCCCGGTTGCTGCTGTCGTAAAAATACGTCACCTCATCTGGTATGGCGTGTTTGACCACGTATGACGTCGGCACTCCCAGGGACACGTTAAACGGAAGATTTGGTGACGTCAGGGCCAGAATTACAAGTCCCCCTTCCGCGTTCATAGTCCCCGCCATGTAATCGAGACTAATAAAACGCAGGTAACTTTCCGAAGATTTCTGTTGCAGAGTGACCATCGGTGACTCTGGGAAGAAATCTCCGTCGACAACTGGGGCGAAAGGAATGCCCATCATGTTTTTGACCACTTCATTTCTAGCGTTTGTTGCTGCTACAAATATAGTAAGAGCGCTGTGTTGTCGAAAACAATCGACCATGTGAGAGTCCCGAGGACAGTGAAGGTATTTTGCGACTGCCGCCACCAGTTCGTCTTGCTGATGTGACCACGCCCAAGGGGAATACAATACCCCGCTTTCACTGATAACACGATGAAACAAGCCCTTCGTATGAGGAGACAATGCAAGTTGACTAACGCTTGTGCCTCCCGCGCTTTCGCCAAAAATCGTCACCTTTTTAGCATCACCACCGAACTCTAGCACATTATCCTGAACCCACTGCAAAGCCAAGGTCTGGTCCCATAGACCGATGTTACCTGGAGACCCCTTGGTTGCTAGGAAACCAAATATATTCAGCCTGTAGTTAATGGTTACCACGACTGTCCCCCCGGTAACCGCCAGAAGATCTGCGTGGATGTGAGACCCCGTGCCTATAGCGTACCCTCCCCCGTGTATCCACACCATAACACTTTTGAGAGAGGATTTATCGATTTTATCTGGAAAAGAGATAGGACAGCGGTTCATGATAAGAAAATGCTTTCAGGTATTATGTGAAATCTCTACTATCTACAGCATATGACAACGGTGTCTAGCCTCACCCGGCCTCCATAAAGCTAAAAGTGTGAATGTTATATACTAACGACGAAACTCAATATTAACACTTTTTCTATATTGCTGGGGGTAAAGTATCATTTTGAAGGTGGCATTGTGGAAATGTGCCATTTGAAAAAACAACCTAAGTTACTATTTATGAAGACATTTCTCCTTCTCAAATGCTTCTACACTGTATTACTCTCAGCCTTGCATTATAATTATCCAATAATTTTTAAATTATTATTTTAAAAACAGCACAAAATATCCAGGTATTTTTGTACATGAACATACTAACCCGGAACGTAGATATTGAGGAAGAGACAGTCTTCGGATACATGTGCGTTCTCCAAGTGGGCTATAGCGGAAGACTCCAGAAACTGGATGCACGAGGCGCCATTCTCAGTGGCATTCAGGACTCCTAAATAAAATGTACCAAATGGCTCGTTATTACATATTTAGTTTAAACATTTAGATAAATCATGTATTGCATTTTCAATCCGTCGTTTACCATATACAGTGACACTATACCTTTCCATTTTCCTTTTGGAATAGGTTTTTTAAATCTGAGTTGTCCGACTGGAGCCTCGGCAAATGGGATACCCTGGAATACCAACACGCGTGCACCGTTTACGGTCTTCGAGCTGCCCCGTAGCGGCCCGTTCTTTGTGTGAACGATTTCTTGACTTTCACAAGCGTTTATGTAAAATATGGCAGCTGACACCAGCCAAATTAGCGTGTTTGACAACGACATAGTGCTTTGTAAGTGCCGTTTTTTCAGACACTCCCTTATATATCGCGTATGTATATATCGTCCTCTGTATCAACCGGAGGGGTCATTCCCAAATAGTTCGACAAGATCGCGAAAGATGTGTCATATTCAATAACCATGAGAATTATTGCTTCCTTATCAATAAAAAAACCAAACAAATGACTGCGTATTTCTTTTTCAGAAAATTTAAAAGGTTTGGTGCAATGTGAGAAAAGGATGTCTTTATAGATTGCTTTGGCAACTCATAAACATTTGCCGTAGGGCCCTCCCCGGTCAGTTTTATCTACGGTTGCGATTCGAAATCTATGGCAATGTAACTTATCTTCATCTGAATTGACTTGGTATCTCTCGATAACTTCAATCGATATGTCCAATCGAGGTCAGATATTTGTCACCATCACACCACTGTTGACATCATAAAACTGAAAACTTAGTATGGATTGCTATCAATACTTTGGAATATACTTCCCTTTTTAAAAACTCAGCATTCAGTTCCATACATGTATACAGGATTAACCGCACACACAATTAATATCAGTTGTTTATTTGAGTTTAATTCAAACGAGACAGAAATGTAATATCGAACAAATCGAAATAATGGATTGAGCTACTCTGGCAAGTGTGCGGTTTTGGTGCCCTTTAATCTTGGCCCCGGTTTACACTCTAGCAGACTGAACGACTGTCTGAAGTAATCTATTTCCGTCCTACTTGTTATATGTGCAACTTCCACCACTGGACCTAAAATGTAAAACATGTAGGCCTTAAGAAATTTTCGTTTCATTTCATTACTGTTTATTGGGGCGTCAAAACTTAACAAAATTTTGTTTAGAATCGGTTCTATCAGGTTACTGGAATGTTAAGTTCTTTGTGTTGTGACTTAATTTGCGAAAATACAGAGTCGAGTTCCACATCCTTTTGATTATTTAACTCTGATACACAGGGTGCCTTTCATTGCCACAAAACTAGGACAAAACCATCTCTTATTAAATTACTTCTTTCAGTATGTCACTTGCTATTCGCCCTGAGTTATCGAGTTCCCTGGAAACTCAACTTTCTCCTGCCAGTATGTCTTCGTCGTTTTCAGTAACAGTTAGGATACTGGAAACTGCAGAGGCATGACGACAGTAGAGAGGTGAGGTTTCTACGGGTGATGCTACATGCCTTCGACACAATCGTTAGCGTGAAATGAGGGATGTGAGCTTTTGACCTCACCTTGGACCCCTGTCGATGCAAATGGTCAACTATTCAACTTTAAACCTTTATTGTCACGAAGAATATGAACAGTGACAAGTCTTTCGCGTTCAAGAGCACCGACTTACCTAAATCTATCTTGCCATACTTTGATGGTGCAGGAGGAAGGCGTGTCATTCCCTCCAGTGCTGGCCATGAGGTTTTTACCGTTAGCACAACTGGACATAGAACCACTGGAGCCGTCATGGGGAGACCCGAAACTGGTACACAGTAAAATATAGTTTAAAGGCGGCATTTAATGGTGAAAACAATTGCTTGAAGACTACGTCACTGTCTTAATATGGGTCTTTTCTGTGCTGTATCTTTGCTTTTTAGAGAGTTGTTTTAAATTTAGATTACAATTATCACGAAAGCCAACCCTTTATACAAAATGTTATGATTCAAATATGAAATAGTGGGTCAGTTTAATTCATCTTTCCCAATGAAAGAGGAAAAATACATGCCAGGCTATTCTTTTCTAAAAAGAGTTTTTTTTATATAATTCCATTTCCCAACAGACGGCAAACCAGCACCTCACTTATAGATTTTAAACCTTATTGCCAAGTCCAATGTTAACAGAAGCAATTAACAGAATCGTAGCCAGTTAAAACACGCACATGTGTCCGGTTTCGTGCGTTACTATTTTCACAAACCGTCCGCTGCAGTCGTCGTCGCTCACCCCCACACCCGAATACGAACACGTGGATCTCACATAGGCCAACCCTGGGGAAGGCAGAAAATAACGTAGTATCATGCTTTTTTCTTTAAAATATAAATCATTCGAATCTGTTTTTTTTTTATTGTAAAAGCCATGCACAAGATTAATGCAGACTGTAAACTTTAACTATAATGATTAATCTTGGGTGAAAGTCGACCAAATATAAGGTTATGGATTATAGAATTTGTATTGTCTTGATTGTTTCGGAGGCGACACAGTGCACTGTGATGTCCCTATTAGTCTAGAGGTGGGAGTTTTGAACCATGTGATGTAAGGAATCCATGTTGGTGGACACACGTGTGTAACGGTGTTTTGATAATCAAGAAACAGTTGTGCATCTTTGTATGGTGTACATGTTTTATTACACGAGCAAGGCTAAAGACCTCTGTGCGTAACAATTATCGGGCGTAAGAAATTCTGTGAGACAGTTTTGTGGACTAAGGAAAAAGGACACCAAGAGAGACATCACATTTACAACATATGGTAGTCCGGTTAAACGAAACTGAGAGTCAGTGTAACAAAAAGTCCGCCCTCCATTTAGTTATAATGGTTAGGGTTAGCCTGACCTAAGTGGGTCAAAATCTAGGGCGAGGCTTACTTGTACAGATGAATGGGAAGTGGACTTTCTATCGTGGGGGACTCTCTGCCACGTTTCACCGCCACCAAAAAAAAAATCCAAACCAAAAATCTTTTACAGTAAATAATTTTGTCTCAGGTATCTCCAATGACGGTGCCTTACAGAATAACAATATTTTGTGACCATATATAGGCCTACCTATACAATCCACAGTAAAATAAAATTTTCCAGCAATAAAGGGAAAGGAAAAATATATAAAATAAAGAAACAACAGGAGAGTAAATTTTACAATACCTTTCCCTCTTCCCGTTGATCCAAGACTGTAAAAGAATGATGTCGTTTTTAGCACATTTTTCTCAAGTCTAAAATAATTAATTTTGGATCAAACCTTACTATATACCCCATAGTAGCTACAAATGCAAAACTAGTGATCTAGCAAAGCAGTGATCTAGCAAACCAAATTTCATTTTGGCAAATCTTTGCTGCAGTGCAGTATATGAAAATACCTGTAAAAGATTCCTGCAAAGAATATTTTGGTATCAAATAAAAAACTCTATCAGAAACCATCCCAAAGCTTCATATGTTATCTAAGAAAAAAATTCTATTTGTATTCTATTTCTGCACTTACCATGTATGCACCATTGTAAAGTCGTTCTGTTTTTTACGCGAGGTCCACTGTGTTTTGACATAGTCCAGCACAGACTTTTGGCTGGCCAAGTTGTCTACACCTTTACAAAGGGTGCTGCCAGCATTCTGAAAAGCAATTTTGGCGTCATTCTTTTTTATGGTTAAACAGTAAATAAATAAATAAATAAATATATGTTTTAACGAATATACGCCTGATATAAAAATCAGGAGTCGTTTGGCGTACTGGGATAACAAAAGACCATCGTTGCCAAAGCTGTTTGTTGAATAATAATAATAATAATAATAATAATTTCGTCAAACAGTTTTCCTAGGGGTAATTTTTAACATAACATTATTAACTACACACACTGGACAATAGAAGTGTCACCCCTACTGAACCAATACTATGGGGGAGATAAATGACTGTGGAATGATATGCTCCTGGTATCATTTTATTAACATCAAATTTCACAAAAAGACCAAAGATACAATTCCATGGTGAAGCGGTTTTATACTCATTAGTCACATTATAAGTAGACCATGCATTATAACATTGATTACTCTGATTCAGGGGGAGACACTTCTATTGTCCAATGTGTGTATCAACTTACCGAGCACATGTATGTCTTTTTTATTTTAATCTGGATTTTAGGACTAGTCCTGAACCCGGCGTAAGCACTGGATACCTAAACAAAAATGAAAAAACAAACAAATCAAACTTTTTTTTTTTATTAGAAGGGAAAGTAGGCTTTATGAGAGAGAGAGAGAGAGAGAGAGAGAGAGAGACCTTATTCCAATAATTCGTAACATAGGCCTTGGCCTTCCTCGTGCTGCCCTTTTTCTTGATAACGGAGTTGGCAATAATCAGTTGCGCTTCAGGATACACGGTCTGTGGGACCGCGCGTTTCTCCACCGAGCTTTCGGTTATATCAGCCGGTAGCACTGAAGATGAAGCAAATAACATATTTTAGGCTTTATCATATATATATACATAGGCACTCAGGAGTATATACTAAAAACATTGCACCTCTACTACATGAGAACCATGCATAAACCCATTTCATGAAAATAAAAAAGTAAGTTTGAGATGATAATAATAATTAAAAAACAAAAGAAAACAAAAACAAAAGTGAACTTATTGATTAATTGATATTTTAATATTAAAATTGATATTTTTAAGAAATTGCATTTTACGCACAAAAATCCACATCGTCATGGTGAATGTCTGGACTTTTGTAAACAATATGGCGGAATGTAGTGTCCGCAACATGGCGATCGGGGAGCGGTTTGATGATCAGATCACCTAGGTAACCATCCTAAAGTAAATATGAATTGGGAAAAAAGGTTGAAATTTATGATTAGGTAACATTTGTTGTAGATGC